CCCAAGCTAAGACTTTTCACTTCCCCCCCCGTGGGGGCTCCCCAAGCTAGGGAATTTTCACTTTTCCCCCCCGTGGGGGCTCCCCAAGCTAGGGAATTTTTACTTTTCCCCCCCGTGGGGGCTCCCCAAGCTAGGGAATTTTCACTTTTCCCCCCGTGGGGGCTCCCCAAGCTAGGGAATTTTCACTTTTCCCCCCCGTGGGGGCTCCCCAAGCTAGGGAATTTTCACTTTTCCCCCCCGTGGGGGCTTCCCAAGCTAGGGAATTTTCACTTTTCCCCGCCGTGACAGCTTCCCAAGCTATGGAATTTTCACTTTTCCCTCCCTTGGAGGCTCTCCAAGCTGCGGAATTTCAAATAGCTAGACAACGACGCCTAGATAGTCCCCCAAATCCCGTGTTCTTTGAATGTGTTTCCATGTTTTTGCAATGGTTTCCTTCAAAGCACGGTACTTTACACTTTTGTCGCCATAAAACCGGTCGAAAACATCATGTTCGACAATGCTTCCAATTCCCTTATCTCCCCAACCGTTGAAAATACCGCTATTTACAGTGTTTTCTTCAATTTTTCCATGTTCCAATGCCGGTAGCCAACTCCAACATATATATAAGAAATCCTTCCAAAACATTGTTTTTGACAGTGTTTTTCCAATGTTTCCAGTCAAACAGACGGTAATTTACACGTTTTTTGCCATAAAGGCAGTAAATCCTTCCAAAACATTGCTTTTGACAGTGTTTTTGTAATGTTTCCAGTCAAGCATACGGTAATTTACACGTTTTTTGCTATAACGTCAGTCCAAAACACTTGTTTTTGCAGTGTTTTCAATGCTCTGGCATCCAAAAACCCTGCAAAATCTTGCTATGTACAATGTTTTTTTCATTTTTGGCCGTTTTTCCATTGCCGGAAAGCTACCAAAATGACCCAAAATTCCATTTCAATACCCTCTTGCGCTCAGACACCCAAAAATCCTCGAAAAATGTCGAAAACACCACCGTATTCTGGTCTCGGTGCGAAACCGTTTTTGGGCCCCCCCCCCAGCTAAAGCTGATATAGCGACTGCTATATTAACAAATGTCATTGAGCATTTAGTGTTGCTGTTTTGTCCCCCAATAAGCACGCCTTCACCGCCAAAGCGGTGTGGGCGGATTTCTTCTGGTTTCTCCTCTTCCTTCGGTGTTTCTTCCTGTATTGGCTCTGGTATTGTTTCTTCCTTTGGTTCTTCATTATCAATCTCTTTTACGACTACCTGTCATATATTAATATTATAGATAATTTTTTATACTTTCAAAATCTCGTGTCTCAAATACGGTTTGTTCAATCCTTCCAGTTTGAAGGTTCTGTTTCCAACATCATCGTATTCTATCTTGACGATTTTGTAGGATTGATTGCTCCATTTTGAGTTATACTCCTTCCTCTCGGTGTAGTTGTTTTTTTTTTCTTCTCAAAGACCTTGACCATATCATTCACTTTCACCTCTGAATATTTGCGAGTGTTCTTTTCCCTCCTTGTCAAATTCACCCTGACGTCCATATGGTTCTTGTCGTCGTGGGCATCCTTGGGTTTCATTTTCGTGGATGAATGGACGGTGTCATTGTATTTATCCAATGCTTTGGACAACATAACAGTCCAACTACCATGATTAAACCTGACCCTGTCGTGTATCATATTTTTCATTGTCCTTATGAAACGCTCCACAACATTAGCGTGAGTTAGGGTGACGACGTGAGTGATGCCTTCTTTCTCAAAAAAGTCTTTTACCCCTGCTCGGAAGGCACGGTCATTATCACTATAAACAGACATCGGAAAACCCATTTTGTTGAAACTCTCTTTCAGTGCCGACAGGGCATTTGTTCCTGACTTTTCTTTCATAGGGACAACATTAGCCAACTTGCTGAAGATGTCAATAATAACCATCGCATATCTTGGTTCATCATTCTTGATTGGAATTTTCGTCCCTGGTTCTTTGGTAAGGGGTTTCATATCTTATGTCAATCTGGAATTCAAACCTTGCGAAGGGTGCGGTGTAGGAGTTTGAACCCCTGTATTTTCTAATCTGTTTGTTGGGCTGTTTCCTCATAAAATTTTCCACATCCACCCTGTTGATGGACTGGTCTTGTTCCTTGGCTTTCTTGAGGGTCTCATTGATTGAACCGAAGCCCGTTTCAAGATTGTAATAGACATTGCTTATGATGTCATCTCTTGATAGTCTCCTTGCCATATATTATAATATTAGATTTTTAAAATTATCAGCAATAAAAAATATACTTTATATATAGTAAGAATAAGTAAGATGACTAAATTTGACTGTGGATGTCGTATTATGAGCGAGTGTATCACCTTAAACAATGGTGATTACAAAAAACCTAGTTGGAATTATTTGTTAAAAACCTTCGTGAATGTTTGTGGAAAGTGTGGCAAGAAACAAATGAAATTCCAACAAATGGAAAACAAACTTTTGGAAATGGAAAAGCAACGAATGGAAATGTTTTTGGAAAATGAGGATGAAGAACACGACACATACTTTGACCTGACAGAGTTGAAGGAACATCTCAAAACCCTCCCACCCAATGAAAGACACAAAGTGAAGGATTTTGAGAGGTTAAGAAACCTCCGCAATGGACAAGACCCCAACGAAGGAATGAGTGAAATAGATATGGTTATAAAGGAACTGGAAGAGGAGGAAAGGGAAAATAAAAACCAACCCGAACCCGAAAACTGAACGAGCCCCCAAAAACTACTTAAAGAAAAATTACCTATATATAGTAAGAGGATGCTATTTACTTATAAAAACTGTGGATGTTGTAAAAAAGAAATGACTAACCTAAAGGTTTTACTAAACAATATTTTTCCCGCTGGAATTTGTGATGAGATATGTGATTACAACCTTCACTGTTCAAAATGTAAAGACTTAAACGATAGGGAGCGTAGATACATAGATTTCAATTATCATTTTGACTATTTTAATGACAAAAAATTGACGAGAGTAGAAAAGACAATCTATTTCTTTAAAACAAGGATGGAGAAATCACCTATTTATTTATCCAACACGAACCGAACAAACACTCGGCAAATGAAAAGAGAAATTGATGTTTTAATAGATACATTCAAACTCAAGCAAGAATTCAAACACGACAAACTGTTCTTAATGGCGATTAAGTCTTTTGTGAAAAGGGAGTGGAAAACTACCTATCACTTCCTTAAAAACTTTCATGACCTTACATATATGAAGTATTGTAAAAACAAGCGTGAGTGGTGGTTTCCTCAAAACGATTGGACTTATACATTCAGAAATAGGGAGTTTCAGGTAAATGACATTTTGAAAATATTTTTGTGTGAATACACCGAAGAACTGTTCAACGGTTATGAGAAATATTTGAACATAGAAGAAATAAAAGAGCACCTACAAAAAGTGGTAAATACTTAAAACAAAAATAACTATATATAGTAAGAGAAAATGAGTAAAGCAAAAATTCAGGTTATAGATAGAGATAATATCGGTATATATGCTGACTTCGGTAGTGAAAGCGAGGACGATGACTGGGAAAGAAAAGCAATAGAAAAAGAAGATGAAGAGATTAGAGACTTTGTAAAATGTCATCCCTTACCACCACGTGAAGACTTTGATTTTTGGAAATCTGTGCTTGATAGAGTTGTTAGTGAAAGTAATGTTGAACGGTTTAAAATATTTATACACAAACAACTTGACATCATCAAACGAATGTATGAAAACCTCACCAATAAAGATATAATATGATATAATCATACAATGCGGAAAAGAATTGAATAGAAGAGGTGGGTGTTTTTGTATGAGTGTTAATATGACCCTTTTATCAATAGCGATGGATGAACTAAACGATACAAACAATCCCTGCTTATCACAAATGAGAGTAATTGAACACTGGTGGGATGGAATAGGTGAATGGAAAGCATAAAAGATTAATTCATAATATCTTAACAAAATATATTATGAAGTGATCCACCCTAAAACCCCTTAAAGACATAACCCCTTAAACTTGTAGAGGTATAATGACTGACAAAAAGCAGTGTTCTAAATGTAAAGTCTTTCAACCGTTAAACTATTACAGAGATGAATGTAAGCAGTGTAAAAACTGTTTAGAAGCAAAGCAACGATACAGAGAGAAAAACAGGGACAAATTAAGACAGTATGCCATACAGTATCATCAAAGAAGAAAGGAACAAACAACAGAGGAAAAGAAAGACACTAATGAATTGAAGACTGAATGTCCTGTGTGCGGAAGTATCATAAACAAATATCAGGTCAAAAGGCACGAAGAAAGCATCAAGCATCAAACCAAACTGAAGGGAAAGGAAAAACCGAAAGTTGTGAGAAATGGAGATAATGAAACTGGAATGTTAGGCATATGAAATCTCAATCCAAACATAAAACCCCAACAGCCTAAACAAATCCTACCCCCATTCAATCCAAACATCAACAGTGAAAGTTAAGACCCTAAACCACCCCTAACAATGTCCCAGTAAATCATCAAAACCAAGGAACACACATTGAACAACAGCATAAAAACCATAACAGCCAAAACACCCTCAACAAAACCTACCCTCATCCAAACCCAACACTATTACATCAACCTCAACAAACATTTAGCAAGATAATCAAAAAGAAACAGTCAAACATTTAGATTTACAATATTGAACAAAAACATAACAACCTCCCAACCAACCTCCAACCTCTCTTGTCCTAGTTTCCCCCTTTCACCGTTTTTTTCTGGGAGATGTCGGAGATGGTATACCGACGGCCATTTTGATAGGGAAACTGGCGATAAAGCATTTCAACATATTTCAACATATTTCAACATATTTCAACCATGGAATTTGTGTGTATCCCGAAAATTTTCAGACACCCCCTTGGAGGATTCTTTTCAGTCCAAACAGTCAGGGGTTAAGTTCCTTAGCAGGTGCTGATTCAACACATAGGGCAATGGATGAGACTTTGAAGTAGGTGGAAATTGCACTTTGACGTGATAGGCACCGACTACCTTGCCGTTGCGTCGGCACAGTCCATGCAGGAGATGTGCGGTCACGGGAGACTTATTGTACTCATCGCATTCAAACAATCCACTCTTGCAGTTGCATATGTTTGCGGGCATCCTCCCGCCAACAAGAACCATGTCTGCTGAGCAGGGTTTTCCGTGGACATCCATTTTGGAAAGTACTTGGAGTACGCTTCGACATCCAGCCTGTCCAGCAAGAATTCCGTATTTTCGATGTTTTCGGTGGACATCAATTTTCTAGCCTATTTGGACTATGTTTTGAACACATCCAGCATCCAGCTGCCTTGTAGATTCATGGTCTTGCCAGCTAATTGGCTGCGTTTCTTGGCACATGTCAGGATGGCTGCTGCCGCTGCAATCGTGGTGGTGGAGGTGGCAAAACAGCATCTTGGCAGCGATTCGGGTGCACTTCTCCAAGGCATACCGGGGACGGTGGTGAACAGAGGGAACGCTTCGGAGCTATGGGTATTCCACCAAAAATGGGGAGGCAAGGAGCTACGGATTGAGTTTTCTAACCGCATGATAGTTAAGTCATGTTAAGTCATGTTAAGTCTGCTATTTTTCTGTTCTGAGGGTCAGGTGATGTCAGGTGGTTGTTTTGCCCTGAGGCCAGCCTAGGCTGTGGCTCTTGTGGCAAGGGACGCTTCGTTCGACAGCTGCCACGAGGATTTCACATTTGGACTCCGGAAAGCAAGGAAATCTTCCACAAGGACGACAGACTGAATCGTTGGGAGATGCTGCACCATTTGTTGCTGAAATACTTAAACCCTTAGGAACGATGAACATATTCCTTACCTTGGCAATGCATCGATGCATGCAGGAGTACAAATTCGTTGCGAACTCAGTTGCTATTTTACGATATTGAGGATGGTATTTGTAGCAGTAGGACATGCGTGATGGATGACTAGTTACCTCCGTAGCACCAGCTGCTAGCAATAATAATGGAATTTAATGGAAGAACATATCCCATGCTCGTGCATAGACAAGACTTTCACTCTACCTTTTGGGAAAGGACCTTTTGTCCACCCATTTGATGCTTGGTTTCGACAAGTCCTGCAAAGCTCCTGAAGTCAGTCCTGGACTCTCAGGTTGTGGTTGATATTTGCCCACACACCGACAACGGGATGTGGTGCCCGAAACGCCCTGGACAGACCAACACTTTCGGCGTGACTTGGCTGGTCGGAATCATCAACTGGATGGAGGGGAACGTGCCAGAACGTGCTTGATGATCTCAGACAAACTCACTTCATTTGGTCCATTTTGCTCCGCTTCGTCCTGCCATTCTCTTTCCTTCGTTTTGCCTTTTTGCTAGTTCGTGTTGCACGAGGTCTACAACCACCTCGACTTTGCCACAGTTCCACCTAAGTCTTGTGCCAAGAGAGACATTGAGAAGCGTTGTTTTTACTGCCTCTCAGCCTCAATCTTCTGAATTGTGGCAACAAAAATGACATGATCGGATGCTTCACCGCAGCATTCCTGTCCTGCTGAGTTTTGACAACTTCTACTTCCAGTTCGATACTGAGCCCTGCGACAAAGAAATGCAGTCTGGTCCTTACAGCTCTTGTAGAGCTCACATCTGTTTTTTCATCTTTTCAATGCCGTTCATGCGCTCAGCTTTTTAAAGCACGCACAATGTGAAGCTTTATTACATTTTAATGCCAAATATTCGAACCACTGCAAGGATTTCCAGATATTCTGTGGCTATCATATGATCCTGGCAACGACTGCATTGCTTCCATTCAGCAAAGGTCTCGCCTGGCGCGCATGTCAAACTGCAACTTGTGAGTATGGAGGACGCTGCTTCCAAAAGAAACAAAACATGCTCCTACATTCATTTCCGTCCTGGATTTGCAATCTGCATGGTATTTGTCAAACAGAATCTCCGCTGGCTTAATTGAGCTAGGAATCAAGGCGAAATCACCAGCAACAATTTCCACTGACTCTCACTTTCGCAGGCTCCGGCTTCGGGGGAGCGCTTTGTTGAATCGCTCATGGTGGATCTCCGGATCACCAAACATTTTTGAAAGATTTGAAAGGGCACAGTGCACCCATGGGAACTCTGGCAGCGGCCTTGGAAAACCTTTTGTCATGCTGTTGCCATTCCGTACTGTGCACCGGGCGGTGTACACCAGAGAATATTTGGACCACTTGCCCTAATCCCAGAGTTTGCTCAGCTTTGGCGTCACCAAGCCCAAGTGAATCTCTCTGCTTTTGCGTTGTGTCATGCCTTGCCATTTTGCGGGACTTTTGGATGCCAAAACTGTAGCAGTATATGCAGTATATGTCTAATTCTGATTGCATGCTGCATGATGGCGACTAGTCGCCGTGCCTGGGCGTAGTTCATGGTTTTACTCGGGAAGTCAGTGAGGACTGACCGAATGGGTTCCGTACTCGGCCGAATGTGCTGGCAAAGGCCAACAGCTTTGAGGAACAGCCCTGCTATTCTTGTGGGCGCAGTGGATCCACTTCTTGCGGCTCAAAAGATGGCTTTGGAGCATTTGTGGTGTCTAAAAGATAGAATTGGCACACAATTATACACATATATTTAATCATATAGAATCTCTTTCTGCAGGGTTGTACTCAGGTGAAGATTGGTCAAGCGACAGTGGGGTGAAGATCCAATGGAGTATCAGTTAATATAATAACTATATGAACGACCATTGGATCTTCCATTATGATAGGAATCCAATGTGAAGATCCAATGGAGTATCCATTCTGACGACCATTATGAACTATACATTCCTCTCGATTCTTGTCACTGAGTTGGAAGGCACCCAAGGCCAAGATGATTGACGACCCCCCAGAGGCGAAGCATGGTAACCATGGCGAAGGGAACAGTTTGCCACGGTGTTTGCAATGATTTTGTTGGATTTTTCATGATTTTTACATGATTTTTACATGATTTTTACATGATTTTTAAGTGGGGTCTTTTGCTCTGCAATCTACACAGTCCACCCCAAACATTTCGAACATGTCATAGCATCGTCGCAGATGATGAAGTGAAGAAGATCAAATCAAATCATTTTACAAGTTGGTCCTTCTACATACTGTATTTTTGTTCAGTTTTATTCCATCGTTTCTCCAACTTCTTGAGTGAATCAGTTGGGCCATCCAGCCGCACCAAGTCCCGTGCTTTCAAGCCTCACCTGCAGGTTCCAAGGGCCAAGCGCAAGGCATCTGTAGAAGGTGGACGGCAGCTCGCAAAGGTCGGAACACCAACCAACAGCAAGTCCTTTGGGCTCACAACAATGTACAGTAGAACCCCGGTAGCAATCTGCTTTGTGTCATCTTGGTGCTGTGCCTTAAATCCTTGCAGAATTTGCATATTCCTGCAGAATCTATGCAATTCAGTGAGTCCTTTGAACATTTGGAACGTACTAAGACTTACGAACATATTTCCAATATGAGTCCACTGTTGGGGCAAACTCTCCTGTGTGAAATCACCAAAAGTCAACGCCATCCCGCTTGCAATTGAAATCTATCTTCCTCCTTTGAGAGCGGACTTTTTGTGATAAGCCAACGAAAGATGGAGGAGTTTGGAAGACATTTCTAATAGTATCTTGGATGGCTCAACTGTGGCCAGGAAATTGCAATGCTTTGCCAGCAACCCAGTGAAACAAAGGCATTTGCGCACGTTCACAACACTGAGGACTCCATGCATTTCGACTTCATGCATTCTTGACTTTAGTATCTGAATAGTAGCCAAATTGACAGGGTATTGCAATTCGGTTTGCAGTTGTCATCAGTTGTGGCTGTTGAAACTACACAATTTTCACCATTGGGTGTGGCGGCTGTGGAGGTTTCGACTGAGGCGAGAGCTGCTGTTTGTTATCGACTGATGCCATCACTGCGACCGGCTTGTCAAAAGGCGGAACCCATCAGGGCTGGTAGAATGATGACGACCATCAACAACCTTTGATCAGTTTGAAACATACTGGAAACACGTTGGAACAACACACATCATTTTGGGACGTGATGCTGATCACTTCAACATCTCTCAGCGTGACTGCTGCAGGAGGTGCAAAACACTTGCCCTGGTCGTTGCCAGTCAGTTCGGGTTCCCAGCCCAACTTCTATGTCCATATCTACTGGGATGCCGCGTATTCTGAAAGATGTTGTGTCAGTGTTTCTTCTGCTATTTGAGCAGTGTTCAAAACCCGTGGTCATTGATTGATTATAGGGGGGTCTATTATGTTTTTATGTTATGCTACCGAACTATATTGGGGATTATAAAATAATATCATCATCGCGTCTGGGTTGACAAGCTGTGAACCCCAGATCTGTCAATGGGTTTCACCTTCCTTGCACTATGGCGACGTGGTGGAGGCGGCGAATGTAGAAAGTGACTTTGGGAAATGGACAGTGCAAGGTTGCTGGCATAGGTTACATCATGTCGGGAAACATGCGCAAAAGAAACGGGTGTCAATAATGTCAATCTTGCAGGAAAGCAACGCATGAGTTGGAAAGATTCTTCATTCAGCATTCCTTTCACAGCGAAATTGTAGGCTGGAGCGGCTTGTGGGCCACTTCGGGGGCCGTGTGCTTGGCAGTGAGAATCTCAATACGTTGACACGTCCTTGCGGCGTGACCCGTGATGTGGGTCGAGTGTCTGTGATGTTTGAGACTTTGTTCCTTTCCTTTGAGGCCTCATGTTGGCAGTCGTTCAAGCTCTTCACCCGAGCGTTGGTCATGTGGGAGGCAGGCAAGCCCTTTTCAGTGGATTCATGATCATGGACTGGCGTGTTACTTGCTACTTGCAGGATGAGGTTACCGTTGCTTCCCAAACCGCACCAGTTGTGCTAGATTGCCTTTCATTGAACCACCTCAGTGACTCGGATTTTTGCCACGTATATCCAGAGAGTCTTGTCAGACACAGCCAACTCTGCTCCAGACTTTCCATAGACATCTAGATTCAATCAATTCAATCCCAGCCTGGTGACTTGGGGCTTCGGTGGAGCTTCGCAGGCCAGAAGAGCTTGCAAAGCCTTGCAATGGCTTTTTGACGAGGCGGATGGATCAAGGGCTCGATGCACCGCACAAATCATACGCTTCCTGTTGCAGCATTTCTCAATTTCCAGGCCGAGGCATCTGTGCAATTCCTGCGCTCCTTGGAGATTGAAGCAGATATTGTGGAAGGACTGGGCCCACATCATTGGGGCTTCCATGATGTTCTTGCTGTCTAAGCAGGACTGATTTTCCATGCATTTGCTTGAAAGAACCAAGGCCAATGCTGAGCAATTTGCTTGATTGTCCATCTAACATAATCTGTTGCAGTACGCTTTTGGGAGGCTGACACCTGCATTGCATTTTGGTGTGAGCTGTTTTCAGCTCTAGGTGTAGTTCTGTACAGAACGGCGTCAAGAATGGGGAAATAGCAGATCTCAAAGCCAAAGCATCATCGAAATTTCAAAACTCTTTGCATGACCTTGTAAATGCAATTTCTGCGCATTTAAATGGTCACCATTTCAACAGTTGCGCGCCCTTGCGGATGTGAACAGTATGAAGCTTTTTGCACAACAGTTCAAGTATGTTCAAGTAACTCAGCAACTACAAACAAAACGCCTATCACAAAGCCCAACCTCCTACGCACCAACTTTGGAGCAGACAAACCACATCAAGCTGGGATCCAATGCCTCCAAAAGCAGCTGGCAAAACAGCAGCCAAGGTGCCTGTTGTGTACGTGCTCGTTTGGTGTATGGTGTCCTGCATTCCTTCAATCTAAGATTCATGATATACAACCTGTGGACACCTGCTTCGAGAATAGAGGTTCTGTTTGCTGAGGCCAGAACTATAAAATTCATTAAAATTCATTCATTCTTGGAATATGTTCCACGCACTTGCGATGAGGCGGCTGCAAAGGGGGCAGCCAAAGCAGCTGCCCCAGCAGGCAAAGCTGCAGCAAAGGCCACAGCTGATTTTCGATTTCTTGATCTACTTGGCAATCTCAAAGATTTGTCCTTTTGGGATTGTTGGTCGGTGGTTTCTCTCTGTCTGTGGTGGTCAATTGAGTTCTTTTTTTGGGTTGATGAAACCTCCGGTCACTCGTGCTCGCTTTGTCGGTGGGGTTCGTCTGAAACTAATCCCACATCTTGATGGGCGAAGCCGCAGGCTGCACCTAAGGCTGCAGGTACGGGTGCAGTGGCTGCGAAGGTACTGAGAGATACCAAGGCGATGACAAAAGCCTGGGAGATTTACCCAACAGAACTGTTTTTGTCAATGGCTTTTGGGTTACCAAAAGAAATGTTTTTGTTACTGGTTGGGCTTGAACCAGCTAGACATTGGGCTTTGACCTATAAAATGTTTCACGAGCAATATATAGATAGAACAGCAATAAATGGGGATTGAACCAGCAAAAAAAGGTTTCACGGGCAATCAAGTGGGTCTTACCCCATTTGGGTTTGTCCAGAAATGGGCAAATCATGATCAAACATGATACTTTGCGCTTGCTAAGTTTCAAGTGCTTGGGTTGAAGAATCCACTGTGCGCTTTGCAATCATTGTGTTCTAAGTTTGTATAGACTGTTTAGATTGAACCGAAATCATGAAGATGCGCTAATGTTGTTACTCGAATACTTGGAGGATTTGCAAGGGCTAGGTTGAGACGTTAATTTCCGTCGTGGTGCTATCTTTGAAAGTGGGATGGTTGGTGAGCAAAGAATCAGAATTCAGGAGGAGGAGAAGGAAGAAAAGGACACCGAGCCAAAGCAAGATAAAGCAGAAGACCAGAAGCCAGCAGAGGTTCCATTTGCAGTGCAGCCTGCAGCCTTGTTAACGGTGACTGTAGAGAGTGTAGAAAGCTCAGCTGTGACGCACCATGCCGTTCTCAGGAAACAGCACCCAAAGAGGATGAGAAGACTAAGGTGACTAAGGTAGGGACGGCAGCAGTTTTGTTGACACTGTCCGACAGGGAAAAGTTTCTCCAGCTTTCTTTTGCCTTCAGATCAGGAAGAAGAAGCCAAGTTGGAGGAGCAGCGCAAAGCCGAAGAGGCTGAACGTGAACGAAAAAAGCTGAAGGCCGGAATCCCAAATCCGCTGGGAGTGGCTTCACAGTTGAGACTGGAAAATGTTGGCGACTCCACAGGCGAATGGAAACGTGGTGCTGCTTCTTGGACGCATAACACATGAAAGCAGGATATTTTGATCTGCAAGCTGAGCGAAGTAAGCAGAGATCCTCATGAGATGTTGTAGCCACTGTAGCCCCTGATTCTAACGCTGAGGAAGTACAGCATGTACGACGAAAAGTTTCCGATCAAGGACGTGTGTTTTGCAGTTCACATCCAGATGCGTCATTCCATCTGGGGGTGTCCTAAAATGGGGTACCACAAAATCATCCCAAGCTAGACCATTTTAGCATTGAAACCCATTGCTTTCGGGATCCCACATCTTAAGAAACCACCCATGAGGAAAACGATTTCACTGGAAACCGCTGGCAGAAGGCCATGATTTGCTGCGATGAATCCGCACCAAGAGCGCACCAAGAGGACGGAAAGATCACAGCAGCAGAAATCGATGAGTGGAACACTTAGCATCTGTCCTTTCAAAGCTTGTAGCTATGAAGCTCCCAATCTTTCTTTTATGGTCAGAAAAGGATCTGCAATCAAACTAAAGCAGCAGACAAACACACACACACATCATATCCTGCAGATCTGGCAAATGAATCAAGCGAAAGATGGATCTATGGCTGCTCATGTAGTTTCTAGAGGAGGGCGGGAAAACTTGTGCCATCAGAGAAATCATTATCCTTCAACCTCTTGAGCCGTGAAGAATGGCATTGAGGACTTACTGCTTGTCAGACGTAATGCCTGGCTGCAAGATTCACTTGAGTAGCAAACCATCCGAGGAGAGAATCAGATGCAGCACGCCCATGCTATGCATTGATTTCATGATTGAAAGCAGCACAAAACATGGCGCTTTGAGTGCTTTATTGACGGCTCTGCAGGCAACTCAATTCACGAAGGACTATTTCAAGATAATCAAGGAAACATCTAGGAGATAGGGAAGCTTGGCAACAACATACTGCAAACTAGCCACCTTGCCAACATCGACACTTGTTGAACATGTGTAGCATTGAAACATATTGAAACTATTTCTTTAGACTAATATATGTACATGTAATATACATGTGTATATGTATATATATATATACATAATAATGTACGTATATATATATATATGTTATAGCTATCTTTTGCACCTGGAGGAGAAATACAAAATGGAGAGCGCCGGAGAGGCCAGACAACCAGACAGTGATCCAGTGACGCAACAAGTGTGACTTATCCGAAACAAACACTGGGGTTTCTTCGTTTGATGACTTCGCACAGCCATGCAGGTGTTTCCTTACATTTTCGAGGAGCCCTTGGGCACATTTCATGATTTAGAAGCGGATGAGACATACTATGCAACTCGGCTCAAACTCAGTGCTGAAAGCGCTGCCTACTGCTGAATTTCACCTCTTTGGATGATTTTGGTGGGTCGTTTCACCTTGTTTCATGCTCCAAGACAGTAACTCCAGAAGAGAGCAGAAGCGAAAATTGAAAGATAGAAGTGATTAGAAATGTTCATCCATGCGCTTGGTACATGTAGGCATATGTAGGCCAAGCAGGTTGTTTTGGCGTTGAGAAATGCTTTTCATTTTGGATGAATCCTTTGCAGCCTCTGAGGTGTTTGTAGAAGAGGATGAGCCGCTGGACACGCATTCCTGATGCAGCTGTTGTATGATCATCACTTTGCTCCCTAGATTCGATGTACAATTTCTGGTGAGCTTCAAAGTATGCAACAAGTTTATCCTTCTGGCAGAATGGCTGATCTTAGGACTGAGTTCCTGAAGTCCCAGGAGAGAGCAAAACAAAATTTTATGGGTGTGAAATCTGCTAAAACGCGGGGCGAAGGTTGCCGCTGTATAGAAGGCGGGTCTTGAGACGACTAGTTGGGCAAGTCGTTTGGTTCCAATGAGTGCCGTGCGTTTTGGTGAGTAGCTACATGCCTATTGTACCATTTCCTTTGCGATAGTGCAGCCCAAGCATCCACATGGTGACAGGCAATCCATGTGCCCAAGAATGTGATGCCCAGGGCAACAGTATATGCTGCGAACTGAACCTGCTGAATCTGAAGTGAGTCTCTGGTCGTTTGTGCTCTTAACAATTGCAGTTCACGTCTTTGCCGCTCAGAATGCGATTTTGCTGAGGTCATGATTGGGCGAATCGCTTTGCGGTTGCGAAGGCTCATGGCTGGCTTGGCTACCAAGCAAAATGAACGCTTCGCAAAGTCAGATCTTGGGCAAGCCGAATGTATGCAGAAAGCGCGAGTTGGTCATGGTTGGTTAATGTCCTTGAATGTACTTCGCGTATGACTCCATCAGATAGATAATATGAAGGTATCATCACCAGTTTGCCTCGATTGAGTGATACTTTGATACAGCTGCCTCCAAGAAACACAACAAAACAGTTTGTTTCCCAAACAGTTTACTGTTGGGGTTCTCAATTCTCTCTTACGCCTCTTTCCAGCCGGTGGTGTCCGGCTCTCCCGATGTCTGTCTTCACTTGTCTCCCTTCATGTGTCTCCTACTCTCCCAGTCTGGGTGGTGTCCGGCTCTTTGGATGGTCTGGCTTCACTTGTCTCCCAGCTCACCATGTTTTTTTTTTCGTTTTACCACTTGTCTCCCTCTTATTGTCTCAGATGCAAATGGCGTGGCAAAAAATTGAAACCGCGTGGCATGAGAACATGTTGCTGGTGATCTCAATTGACATAGATCAAAAATTGCCAGTATCAGGAGCTAGTATAACCACAAAGATGGACAGACGCTGCAATGGATATGGAATAACTGTTTGGGGTCTACAGGGGTGTAATATGAACTGGCACGCTTTTGCATTTGCGGTCTTGCCCGCCGCATTTTCCATTTGAAACTGTATAGTGACATGCGTGCACCGCCAAGCGGTGAAGCATGCCTGACGTACCAAGGAAAAAGGCAGAGGGTGGAATCCGGGTGGAACAGCACATTCCCCCTGCGATGAAAAGTAAAGGTACCCTGAATTTCCCAAAGGAGTCCATGGGGGGAAACAGACTCACAGACCCTTACTTCTTTTTTGATTGGTCTGGGGTTTTGATTTTCACATATTTTCACATTCACCAGCATGCTGCATGCTCGGCATTTGAAGCGTCTCTACCGTTGCAGGAGGCCTTGCTTTGAGTTCCATTGCGGCCAACTTTTATGCTGCGGCAGAAACGGAGGCCCACCGACACTTGCTGAGATGCCGGTCGGATGAAACCTACAGATGGGTTTGTCCGGCAATGAAAAAGAGACCCCCCCAAATTGCCATGATGATGAGGACAAATGATCTACCAAAACCATTGGATTTTGGGGTATTCCCATATTTTTTGAATAAACCCAGATATCATATTGTTTACTTGTTGGTATTTGTTGCTTATCGTGTACATAATGTTTGCAGCGCATTATAACCCATATATCGCCAAGGCCGGACAGCTTTGCCGTCGCCTTTCGCTGGGTGCTTCGGCACCGCCACCTGGCGCCCATGCGGGGGCTGCCAGACTTCGCTTGGCCTTTGCGCGAGTTTGGGAGCTACAGGAGGCCCTGTCCGTGAAGATGGTGAATGAGGTAAACCATGGTAAACCCAATGCCATACACCTCATTAAACCTCCAATTCTGGAGGCTTCATACCAGCCATTTGGAGGGTAAGCTATTGGGGATATTGGGGATGGTTTATTGCATTGGGTCTACCGTGGATGTATTTGTTGAATCATTTGTTGGTTCGTTTTTGTCGCTGAAGCAGGCCTTGCTGCTGGTTGCCTTACGAAGCTGTGCGGCTGGGAAGCTGCAGGATGCCTGGTCAGAGCTGTGGGCCCTGCGAAAGATGGCACGAGACGCGGCCAGGTGACAGGGCCAGCGTGGCTTTGGGTTTGTTTGAATTTGGGCTGCCTCCACATTTGATGGTTTATCATGTTTTATCAATGTTTCTCATATTTTCCCCATGAGATTTGGGAGCTATCCCTGTTTTTGGATGTTTTTGGACCATCTCAAATTTCTAGAGATCAATCATCATTTTCCCGATTTCAATGGCAATAAATTGTAAACTCCCCATTTTGAGGCACACTGATGGGCGCTTCGGGAAGTTGAAAGTGGTCGACAGATTGTCGGTAGCCTTGGTGGATAGTCCCCAGGGCAGAAGGACCTTGCCGCAATGGCCATGCCTGGCCAGGTGCCTCAGCAGACATTTAGCATATGCAGAATCCTGCAAAGCTACCAGAGGCAAACAAAGAGGCACGGCACGGAATGTGATGGGGTATCTTCGCTCCTGTGCAACATCTCTCCATTGCAGTTGTTTGCGTTTCCGAAGGTGAGGAACAGGTATCTCGATTCGCCGAAACCAGCACAATTTCCACATGTAAAAGTCTACAAAGCTCCCATCGCCGCGGCCATTGACCTTTCCACAGTTTCCACTGACACAGGTGGTGCCTCGGGCGGTGCCTCGGGCGAGCCGGGTGGACTGGGCGCACGCGTCTCCTTGAGCTTGGCCTTGGCGACCTTTTCTCAAGCCATGAAGCGAAGGAAGGAGGTGAGAGGGGCCTTGGGGCTTTGGGGCTTTGGGGCCCATGTGGGGGAGGCTCCTGGTTTTGATGGTTTTTGGGTGTGGGGATTGAGTGATCAATTCACGGATGGACGATTGGATGATAGATGGATGATCGATGATTGATAGATGAGCAAAACATGACTGCCGAGAGTAGTACTGGCTTTGCAAATCGGAACAGCCTGAATTTTCACCCATGGGTCGGAAGGTGCTGAATTCCCCAGAGGCTTACCATGCCTGGCTGCAGGACAAACGTTGGTTGAGGTTTCAACTCACCCACCATGTAGCGAAGGGTTCTGCGACCGAATTGTACCCCAATCCAAACAAATTCTAGTCATTTGAGTCATTTTGAGTCATTTGATCCCAAATTTGAGGCATATCCAATCCACCTTTGCCATGAGGACCTCATTGGTCGCTTGGAAGCTCATCTAGATGACCTGTCCTGCCCCTGGGTCTGTGGGTTCTGTGCATGTCTCACGGGAAGAGTTTGAACTTTTTTTTGTCACACCGGGTTCAGTACAGTTGCGACAATTCAATCATTGGTTCTTTGCAGGTGACAAGTCTTTTGCCTGAGACCATTTCACTGCTGCAGACGCTGCAAAATGTCCACAAGATATGGCACCCCTGGCCCATTTTTTGACCCGCTCCAATCAAGAAGCCTTCCTGGTAGCTGCATGAGCAAGTGAGGTCAAAGGTCAATCCTGAGAAAATACTGGAAGGCATGGAGGGATGGAAGGTTTGTTTCTGGAAGGAATATTAAAGACGATTTGGTGAAGACATGAAAAATGTAGACACCAATGACGGAAAAAAAATGGACATTTGACGTGACAGAAAGACTGTACAAGTCAGAAGTTCTTAAGTGATGAATTGACAGGCCATAACCTTAATAGTGCAGGGTGTCCGGGTCAAAGGAAGTAGAACTGGGGGCCATTTGGGGGGCAGTGAAGCTTCTGGTGAAAAGTGTATGAAAGGTAGATTGAAATGGTATGTGCAAGGTTACGTTGGAGCTGCGGAGACATGCATGCTATATACATAGGATTGATCAAAGGAAGTTTAGGGGGAGAAACTTTCGTGTTACGGACTTTTAGAATGTCAGGGAAAGAGTTAGTCAAAGAAAGAGTTAGTGAGGGAAAGAGTTAGTTAGGGAAAGAGTTAGTTAGGGAAAGAGTTAAATGTAACTTTTAGTGAGGGAAAGAGTTAGTCAAAGAAAGAGTTAGTGAGGGAAAGAGTTAGTTAGGGAAAGAGTTAAAGTAACTTTTAGACTGTCAGGGAAAGAGTTAGTCAAAGGAAGAGTTAGTTAGGGAGAGAGTTAATTGTAACTTTTAGAATGTCAGGGAAAGAGTTAGTCAAAGAAAGAGTTAGTGAGGGAAAGAGTTAGTTAGGGAAAGAGTTAATTGTAACTTTTAGACTGTCAGGGAAAGAGTTAGGCAAAGGAAGTGTTAGTGAGGGACAGAGTTAATTGTAACTTTTAGAATGTCAGGGAAAGAGTTAGTCAGTGAGGGAAAGAGTTAGTTAAGGAAAGAGTTAGTCAAAGAAAGAGTTAGTGAGGGACAGAGTTAATTGTAAATGACATCTTCAAGTTGGATTTTTGAAGGAAGTCTCGCACGAAATGCGTTTTTGAGAGATAGCAGATGCACGAAACCCTATGTTTTTCCATACAAAGTCCGTCCCCGAACCTCGATGATCTACCTCTGCGGTGCGACGGTTGCGAGACGGTCTCGTGTGTGGTCGGATCATGGTCGGATCGGTCTCGGATCATGGTCGGATCATGCTCGGATCGGTTCCGCATTGTAAATGGGGTTTCAACTGTTTTTCGTGCATGTGCGGTCGACAGAATTCCATTGTGATTTGCAACTGTAGGATCGTTCCCGCAATGCAAATGGCATTGCAAGTGGTGCTGGTGGATGAGTTGCCGATGGAGTTTTGAAGGAACTCTCGCACGAAATGCGTTTTTGAGAGATAGCAGATGCACGAAACCCTATGTTTTTCCATACAAAGTCCGTCCCCGAACCTCGATGATCTACCTCTGCGGTGCGATGGGTGCGAGACGGTCTCGTGTGTGGTCGGATCATGTTCGGATCATGCTCGGATCATGGTCGGATCATGGTCGGATCGGTTCCGCATTGTAAATGGGGTTTCACCTGTGTTTTGTGCATGTGCGGTCGACACATGGCGTTGTGTTGGAGCTACAATTTCCGACGCCGTTGCGCGTAGTTCTATTGTGTTTTGCAACTCAGTCTCTGCAGATCGCATGTGTAATGGCTGCGTCAAGGTTGCTTCGTGCTGTGGCTGCATTGGTAATACTATTGTCTTTTGCAGCTGGACTTCGTAAATCGTATTGGAGTGGCTGCATGAAGGCTGCCACAGTGATTTGTCAGCAGATTTTCTCCACTTTGGCGCTAGTGATTTTCCTTCTAAAAATCCTTTTAAAAAGTGCTTCAATATCGTTTTTTTTTCTCTCGCTCTGGCGTCGAGATCCGGTTTTGGAGCTACAATTTCCGACGCCGTTGCGCGTAGTTCTATTGTGTTTTGCAACTGAGTCTCTGCAGATCGCATTGTAATGGCTGCATCAAGGTTGCTTCGTGCTGTGGCTGCATTCGTAATACTATTGTCTTTTGCAGCTCGCCTTCGTAAATCGTATTGGAGTGGCTGCATGAAGGCTGCGAAATGGATTTGTTAGCAGATTTTCTCCATTTTGACACTAGTGTTTTTTTGTTCCACGTAGGTTTAGAGCAGTGTGAAGTGTGGGGCGTAAAGAGTGCAGTGTGAAGTGTGAAGTGTGAAGGAAGCAGTGGGAAGTGAGGAGTGTGAAGTGTGGAGTGTGAAGTGTGCAGTGTGGAGTGTGAAGTTTAAGTTTGGAGTGCGAAGAGCGCAGTGTGAAGTGTGAAGTGTGAGGTTTGGAGTGTGAAGGAAGCAGTGAGAAGTGAGAAGTGTGGAGTGTGAAGTGTGAAGTGTGGAGTGTGAAGTTTGTTTGGAGTGCGAAGAGTGCAGTGTGCAGTGTGAGGTGTGGAGTGTCGAGGGAAGGACACGGTCGGGACAGGTTGTCTTTGAACTATAGGTCATTTATGTTTGGGAAACTTCCGCCGCCGGCTTGCCCGGGTCTATGTTATGCATTGATCCATGTCACCTTTTTGTCACCTTTTTGTCACCTTTTGTCTCATATCCCAGTAGTACCGCACAAGGCGGTGGCGGAAGTTCCAAGAATAGGAAAACTATAGGAGAGGTTGGTTGTTGTGAATCACGGATGGCAGAGTGAATCCTCTGATGGACCGAAAGATTGTTGGATTTGTGTTTTTTGAAGTGGTTGCAATGGCTGCAGTGGTCACCTCACACACACACACGACTGCTGGATGTAGTGTGGTGTAGTGCAGTTGTAGTTGTAGTGTAGTGGAGATGGAGTTGTAGTGTAGTGGAGATGGAGTTGTAGTGTAGTGTAATTAGTGTAGTTGTAGTTGCAGTTGCAAAAGTAGTGTAGGGTAATGTAGTGTAGTGTAGTGTACTGTAGTGTAGAGTACTATAGTGTTGTGTACTCTAGTGTAGTATAGTGTAGTGTAGTCTAGTGTAGTGTGTGTGAAGTCGTGTAGTGTCGTGTGGTTGTAGTTGTGGTGTAGTGTATATAGTGTAACGTAGTATAGTGTAGTGTAGTGTAGTGTTGTGTTGTGCAATGTAGTGTTGTAGTTGGAGGCACGTAGATAAACGCCCTTGGCATTTTTGTACATTTTTGCATATTCCTGCGGTTGGGGGGGTGGGGGGTGGGGGGTAATAACGTTCTTGTCGCGTGCTTCTTTCACATGTTCTTGGATCTTCTGACACACTACTATAACATGTTGTTGGAACTTCTGACACGCTACTGACATGTTCTTGGAACATCTGGCACGCTCTTGATGCTACGCTTCTAACATGCTCTTGGAACTTCTGACACGCTTCGAACATGTTCTTGGAACTTCTGACACGTTTCGAACATGTTCTTGGAACTTCTGACACGCTTCGAACAGTCTCTTGGAACTTCTGACTCCTGACACGCTTCGAACATGTTCTTGGAACTTCTGACATGCTTCTAACATTGTCTTGGAACTTCTGACACGCTACTATAACATGTTCTTGGAACTTCTGACACGCTACTAACATGTTCTTGCAACATCTGGTACGCTCTCGATGCTACGCTTCGAACATATTCTTGGAACATATTCTTGGAACTTCTGACACGCTACTATTACTATAACATGTTCTTGGAACTTCTGCCGCGCTACAAACATGTTCTTGGAACATCTGGCAAAGTCTTCAAAAGGCATTGCCTGCTTCTCTGCATGTCAAAGACAGACCTGGAGGTGGCATCAGTGAAAAGCTAATGTGGTATGTTTGGGGCTTCGTGTGGCGAAGCAATTTGGGCAACCATGCCAACTTGACCAAAGAGTTGGGAAAAATCATGTAACTTGGGACACACAGAACGAGCAAGAGAGAAAATTACTTTTGAGCGAACAGGAGCCTCGGATGATAAATAACAAAAATGCTGTAAATACCAGTACAATTGACACATGAATGTGCTAAAAGCACAGCGAAACTCTACTTTCATTTTCACTGAGCACACAAAGTGCTGTAACGGTTGCAAAATTTGAACATGGCGAAATGCCAAAATCAACAAATAACCCAAGGGCAAATATCCGCGTGTGACCTTGTAGTTGTAGTTGTAGTTGTAGCAGTAGCAGTGGCAGTGGCGTTAGCAGTGGCAGTGGCAGTGGCAGTAGCAGTAGCAGTAGCAGTTGTAGTAGTTGTAGTAGTAGTAGTAGTGGTGGTGGTAGTAGTAGTAGTAGTAGTAGTAGTAGTAGTAGTAAACTTGTGAACTTGATAACGTCAAAAAGGAAGCAATTCTGCGAGACTTCCTTCAATAATGGAAAGTTGAGTGCAGAGCTGACGGCCTCGTGCCAATGCATTTTGCGATTTATCCACTCCATCTGTCTAAAGTGCTGCGCCCGCCACAAAAAAGTGATGCCAGGTCATACGAAGTGCTGCACCTGTCACGCAAAATCATCTTAGCAAACCTGAAGATCTGATGCTCCAAAATGCCACGCCTCTCAGCGGCCTGACCTCCTAACATCTCTGATGAAATTTTCTCTTGTACTGCGCCTGCCACGCGAAAGCTATTTTTGCAGATCCTCTTCAAATGTCCCACGCTTGCCATCGCTTGTGGAAATGCCACAAAACCCTCACGTTTTTCTTACTTTTGGCAGGGTGCAGAATCTCGTGCACCTGCCACGCAAAACGACGTTTCAACGTCCAAAAGTGGCGCGAACAAGTGGTGTTGTGTGCATTTTGACTTGGAAATGTTTTTCGCGCATTTTCGCGCCACAATTTTGAACATCTCAGCTTCCAAGAGTGGTCCGAACCCGTCAGTTTTTAACACTTTTGACTTCCAAATGTGCTTCGCGCCACAACGGCGTGCACTTTTTCGACACCACAACTTCCAAAAGTGCTCCGGGCATGGTGCGTTTTGTGCATTTTGATTTGGAAATGTGCTTCGCGCATCTGCGCGCCACGGTGGCGTGCACTTTTCATCATCTTAACTTCCAAAAGTGGTCCGAGCATGGTGTGTTTTGTACATTTTGACTTGGAGATGTGCTCGCGCCACAACGGCGTGCACTTTTTCGACATCGCAACTTCTAAAAGTGCTCCGGGCATGGTGTGTTTTGTACATTTTGACTTGGAAACGTGTTTCGCGCCACAACGGTGTGCGTTTTTTCGTCTCTCATCTGGCCACATGGCCCCGCACCCGCCCCTTTAGCGAGCCTACTTTTCGACCTTCTGGAGCCACAAATCATTGGAAAACCACAGTGTTTCGCGACTTTCCTACCTTTTCGCACACCTGCATCTTCTTTCTTCTCGTTCTTTCTCTTCTCTTATCTTCTCTCTTCTGCTCTTCTCTTCTCTGACTCTTCCCACCGCTGCTTTTCCATCTGCCCATATTTTCGGAAGTTTGACTTCTAAGCTTCATTCGATTATTCACATTTTGTTCTTGTGAGAAGGGCCAGTGACAGTTTTTTGGCCCTCAGTTTTCTGCAGATCCAGGAGACAAAGAATCTCCTGAGGAGGCGTGTCCTCCTACGAACACGAAGATATCACAGGCATGGCGGCCTGTTCTTTTTTCATTTGTCCCTGGCCACAGATCTTTGGGTCAAAAAGTAAGTGACTAGTGGACAAGCACTGCCTTCATTTCTATAAATGCAAGTGCCGTAATTATATGATGAAGGAAAACTGACATACAAGATTGAAGTTGCAACCCGTGATTTGACGATTTGTCGTACGGGGCCTCTCACAATGCATCCCCCGTGGCAGCGACTGCAGGGCCAACTTCTGGAAGCGGCAGGATATACAGCCACAGCCCCAATTCAGTATGCCAGCTTGACAAATGGTTGGCGAGTTTGATTTCTTCACAGGGCTGATCTATTCGCCCGTGTCTTATTGTAAAATAGCTGGTAGATTAGAGAAAATATGGATTGGTCTGAAAATAGGGTACCCCGAAAATTCACAAGTATATCATCCTTTTCCCCCTTTAAATTGCCGTTAAGGGGGGGGCCATCCAGCATTTTCAGACGCCCCCATATGTCTATGCCACTACGTTGACGTCATTGAGGAAGTCCTGTACTGTTTTGGATGTGGAGTCACCGAGGTGCTTCATGAAGCCTTGGGCAAACGAGCTCCAGAACATCATCTACCTGGTGGAAGTTCTGCCTTATCCCAGGCGGATCCAATAAAAGGGCGTACCCTGGCTCCCCAAGAAAGGTCATCGAGGGTCTCTCCACCAAGACATCCAATGTTTTATGCTCATTCAGACATCCGTGACTTTGTCTGGAATCTTCTCTGCAAACCAACAAAAAAATCCTGAGTAGGAGGAGGAACTACAGCTGCGCAGGGATAGCCAAACAGCTGGAAACTTGGGAGGAAAGCAGTATTGAATCACAAACGACTGAGCATTTGCCAGTTCAATCTCAACTCACCACTCTATGATTAGTTCTTAAGAAACCTGGTTTTGGAACCTGGTGTGGGCGACTATGTCTTGAGTAGATGAGATGTGTCCGAACTACTGTGAAATATTTCACAGAGAAGTGGTGCCATTGCAACAATCATTATTCTTGGTGTGTTTCGCCGAGGCTTGGCGTTCCTGTGTGGAGGAGCTTCAAGGCAAGCTGGACAAAAAGTCAGGAGAGCTTCAAAAGTCGACAAACATAGTAAATTTCCCCTTATAATTTAATAATCCCATTCTAATTCTTCTATATAATCCCAATTCAACCACCTTTTTTCCAATGCAAAGGAAGACTGGCGATGCCTTTTCTGAGCCATTTGAGCCATCCAGGAGCTGCACGGCTCTGGCAACAGCGCCAAGAGTGTGCCTCTCGCATTGCCAGGCCATGGCGCCAGCTTGGCCATCGAATGCTATATGGGGGTACCCCCAGTTACCATCCAGATGCCAAGGGTCTCCGGGTCTCTTTCTCCTCAAGATGCTTCACAGATTTCTATTTGCCAGGGTGTGTGAGGATGATGAACTTCAGGCGCATGCAAAGCTAGGCTTCAGCCAGGGTAGGCTTGTCACAGAACATGGCTATGGTTCAAGGCCTGGGGTGATTTGCCAGCAGCAGAGCAAGGCTGGGGATTGGAGTCGGCCATGCAATGACCTGCTAACATATAGGTCAATGAGCGTCTAGATGGTCTCGTTCCTATCGTTCCTAAGGTGCGACTCGACAAGCAAGACGCTGGCGTCCTTCCCAAGCTCAACAGGAGCTTATGCAGGCACCTGCGGGCAGCGGCATATGCGGCATGGGGTCCCGCTACAATGCATGGATCAAAAATGCGCTTCCAGTTGAGCCGCAAAATTGTTTGTTTTATTATGGTTTTTCACGACTCATAATTTTTATCCCACAGCCAATACCTGTTTATGGGCATGTGTGGGTTATGTGGGTGTCGGTGCCAATGATACCAAATTGAAAGACGGGTTATTTTATATAGCTTTTCAGTCATTTTGAGGGTGTCTTTATACCAACTCTTTTCAGGAGACCTTGATTCAAAGGTGTCAGAATGCAAACACATACGGCCCCCTCGAACTTACTAACTGACCTCATTCGTCCCATAACTCCACACTGATCACTGAGGCGTTGAGCGTCAAGCTTGATGGTGCGAAGTCCGAGTGATTTTCGCTGATTGAAAATCGAGGTTTAAAAAACATGCGAATGTCTTTGGACATGTGCACATCAAGGAAGGTTTGCTTGAACAGATTTGGGTGACAAAGGGCTGGTGTTCGTGGGATTTATGTCAGCATATTAAGCGTGGAGCGCATGAGCAACAATTGCGTGTCTTTTAACCAGACTATCGTGTTCCAAGAGACAACCCCCCCGATTTAGCTTGAGGCCGCATGCAGAACTCTGATGTTCTGGAGAATTGAGATGGAAAAGATGGTCCTGCCTTGACATTGATGACTTGACAGAACCTGCCCTACTGGAATCAGCTTAGAGCATTGGGCTTCAGTTGACATGCTTTGACGTTGCTCTACCAAAGCTGTTTCCAGCTCCGTTCAGCGACAGTGGCAAGACAACGAAATATATAGTGCAAAGAATTAATTGTTCCTGGCACTGTCTTTCCGAAAAGCTTTTTACATCCTTGACTCTGCATTTTGAGAGAGATTAATGCATTTGTAGTTTGATTTCCTGACTTGTACTTCCATGTGAATATGTACAAAACCCCCAGCCCTAAACCGGCACAAAAACTCACACACACACAAGCAGGCAAATCCACAATCACAAGGCCTTCCATTCCCATCATTCATACACATATATCCTTTAGCCACTTCTGAAATCGCAGAGAGCTGCATCATGAGGACTCACGTGTTTTTGAACACCAGGACCGCCAGATTTGCTTCTGTTTTGTGCTGTGAGGAGCATGGATGTAGAACTTGCTACACCTTTAGAGGCCAGATATTTTGCCATGCTGAATACTCTTGGGGTCAGAACATTTCGCCTTTGGCCGCAGGTGATTCAACGGGTCTTCATGCGAGGGAAGCGACCAATGGACGCGGCCTTGGAATCCGTACCGGTTAAAGCCGTGATTTCCTGGAAGCCCCTTCAACCCACTGATTTTTGCTTTCATTCCAAGGCCACATTGAAGAAGATCTCAAGAAGATGACAAGGAATCCAAAAACAAATCCCTGAAAAACATGACAAATCCATCTGAAATCACTGACATATCTGACATATCTGAAATCCATCTGGGAATCAAGTGATATCGTTGATATCGTTCTGCGCACGTAGAGGTCACACCATGTTCGATGCGATGGACCTCCGCAGAGGCCACAAAACCGAGGGGAATCATTCCGTATCAGTTGTGGGTTATGGACTTCGAGGTGACATTGCCACGGAGGTCTGAATCATTCTGATTTTTTTCGGAGAGAATATAGGCAATTTTTAGGATGCTTGTGAGTCCTGTGACCAGAATCAGAGAGTGAGGCAATTTTTGGGTGTTCGCCTGTGAAGCGCGTGCCATGCTTGGCTGTTGGAAAGGCTGAAACATCCGTTGACTCTGGTGAGCCGTTCCCTTAGGGACCCTGCCTGGTTAGATGGGAAATCCACATTGAGAAGATCATGCGCAGTGGCACGCCAAATGGCAGCAGGTCTCAACTGCAGATCCTGCTGAGGACTGCGTCCAAGAGCGGCGCGAAGAAGACAGCACTTTCAAGAGGCCTTGAGCAAAGCATAGCGTTGGGTTCGCCTGGCGTTGAATCTTTGCAGTCACTTGTGATTGGAAAGCAAGTAGAGTACAAAGATTCCACACTTGCATATTAAATATAATTGATTTGTGTCTTTGTGTTATGTTTGCTGTGGTAGCATTTGTTGGAATGTTTGGATTCAGTTTTGAAAGACTACACGGCACATTCAACCCATCTCCTTATTTTGAGTCAGCCTCAGGTGCTCCCACAGGTCGGCAGAAAAGACAAAAAGTGGAGAAGGCCTCGCACCAAGTCGTTTCAATGCGATGGCATTCTGTCTGTTTATTTCCAGCGGCCATATCGGCCATATCCACAGTTTCATCACTGAGGAACTGGAAAGTCCTGCAACACCTGTCATCTCCAGGCGAGGAAGTTCATGGGCTATTCGGGCGATGGCTTTGTTCAGGCCGAAGTTTCTTCAAACCAGGTCAGCTGTGGCAAATCGTGCCCGTTGCGGCCCAGAGATTACGTTGGGTGAATGGCGGGAGTACTCAGCTACACAGAAGTACCGCTATACTGCTCAGATGGATGATGTCCAAATTAAATGAAATCGTGTTTGGCATCTGGATATGTGTGGCATTGAAGAGGGACATGGCATAGACAACTTGTCTGGTTTGCGGTTTATCAGCACAAATTGCTTGAGTATGTTACTGGAGCCGTGTTCATTTCCAAGCGATAACCGAAGCATGATTGCTTTCGGATACCCCTGGCGTTGACAACCAAGGCTTTCGTCTCAGTCTTCAAAGGGTTCATGATGCACTGAGTGATCTCGGCAGTTGCCGGAATGGAATCATCATGCAATCAAAGGGATCCAAGCTCAGACTCCACAGGTAGTGGTCAGTGCTGACAACGGTTTCTGAAAGATACGACCCCAATCTCAAATGTCTCAAATGGGCTTGTATGCACCAGATCTTTGGATGCTTCCACAATCAGAGGCTCTAAATACGAGCAGCTGTCTCAAGGGAAGCATTTCTAGTTTTGCTCGAAGAAAAGGTTCACCAATCTCATGTGTTTGAGGCATGGGTGACAAGCTGACCGTTTCGCCACAGCTGTGACCTGGATGTTTAACATGACGATGAAACAAGCCATGGCCTGTCCCTGTACCTCTCAAGGTTTGTGGAGGACACAAAGAGAGCAGCATTGGAGCATGAGACCATACAACTGGGAGCAGCATCCGCCAATCTTCAAGCCTACAAATAGCGCCTCAAATGATGTCAGCTGGGATTGAAACCCACATGACATGCGCCTTGTTGGACTACTGAGTTATCAATGTCTCGTTTTTTCTGCATTTAGAAGGTATCTATGCCAGAGTGAGCATCCCATATCCTACTTGCCATGGCGTCAGCGAAGGAACCATACTTTGCTTCCAGCCCATGCGCGCTAGGCAAGTTGACGATGACTTCGGGAGAGAACATGCTTGCTTGTACACATGACGATTGAGAGTCACGAACTTGCAAAGATTTGACCCTGAATAGCTAGCCTTTTCGGAATGTGGAGTCGCAGCTCAAAGCCTGAGTTTGGGGTGGTGTGCAGTGAGGTACAACGGGTTCTCCTAATGTTCAACCTTTTGCTTTGGTAAAGATTCGGGCAACTCCAGGCCCAGCAGGTCAAGTAAGGCTTCCAAAATGACATCAGCAAATGTACAAATGTATACTGAAAGTTGGAGTTCGGAGGGGCGGGGTATGCCAAAATTCAAGTTCAAATCAAGTTTGCCGGAGGATGCTGAAGGTTCCATCGTTTTAGGTCCATCGTTTTAGGCCTTTTGAGGGAAGAACACACGTTGCATTGTATATGTACTACTTACTGTACTGGGAGCTTTCAAAAGTCTGGACCTTGCCTTGAGTCTCAGCGCAGATCAAGTTTCGGTGTGGCGTCGATTCCGGGCTGGTACCACCTGGGATTATGTTTCAGGTAGCCTCCGTGCAGCTGCTGGCATCAGCCTGGGTGAAGCCCTGTGTCCTCCGATCCCAACGACTCGGCTCCGCGATCCCTCCCCGCGGGAGGGCTGGCGCAGCGCTTCTTCGCGGCAATCGCCACGGCCTCACTGCGGTCGGCAGTATCTCAGTCCAGCTGCAGCTGCTGGTCATTTGGCCCTGCCCAGCGCAAGGTCTAAGATGTTGCAGGAAACTTGGTGAGATAAACACGGATAACACGGCAATTTACTGAGATTGTGGGGTCTTATAAACTAGGAATGACTACTAAGCGTCATGGGCCTTTGGAATTGTTGGGGACGGACCCATTTCAGACTGGTGTTGGGGGTTTTACACCCTGGACCAAATCAGAAATCTACTTACCCCACCTCGAACAACCCCTGAAATCAAGACCGCCCAGTGTGGGAATATCCAGTTGCTTCAATCTGACCAAGTTACAATTTTTGAGAGACACACAAGACCCAACCGGAATGACCAACAGGTATCGGTCAAACTTCGGTACTGCCGAACTTGGATGATTAACAGCGACAAGGACCAGAATCTGCCGTCCCCAGTCTCAGTTCTGACCAACCCCAACTTCATCCAACAACATCGGTCATCATCCAACATCCCAGACATTCTATGGCCGTCCATTGCTCCTCCGCATGAGGAAACTGGTTGGCCGGCTGATTTGGTTGCCAGGGCTGGCATGGGCGTTCGAGGTTTGGTGCCGCGCGGAACCCTCTTTGAACGCTATATGACATGCCCGGTGGAGCCCACCCGCAATGGCTTGTACCAGTCACTGGACAAGAGACTTCTGCTATGAAACTTTTGTTAAACACTGGTCATAAAAGCCATCTTTCTAAACGTTTGACATGATTTAGAGTCATATAAGGAAACTCTTCATGATTTTGGAAGTGCTGGCAACCAAGGTTTTGTATCGTGGGCCTGGACGCTACACCAGGCAGCCCAAGATATTTGGGCTGGGAGCCAACAGGATATTTCGACCGATGGTTTCACTGCGATGAGGTGGACTTGCGTTTGGCATTGCAACGGGCACATCAGGTGTACAAAGCGCCCTGGCAGCGTTTCCTGTTGATGTCCATGGAGGTTCCTATGAGACTCAGACTCCTCCAATGTAGAGGTAGGCAATGTCAATTTGATTTCCATGTCTTGGGAGGCAACCAAATCCTGTGATATTTTTGGGTCAAGCTGTCAAGCTGTATCAACAACTGCCTCCCATCAGTCACCTTGCACATGTTTTCACATTTTATTCATTTTCTTCATTTTTATTCATTTTACTGTAATTCCATCTTCCAGATCCTTCATCAATTTGGAAACACTGACAGATATGTTTCCAGATCCCCTGAGACAAGGAAGGAGAGCGAGAGGCAGTTCGATGGCCCGATGCGGCAAATGCGCATGAGTCGCTGGTGTACGCTGGCATCTCGACCTGATGTTGCCGATTTCATTGTGGTTCATGAGTATGACTAGAGGATATTATAGGATATTCTAGGGGGATTATATATTGTTATACTATGTTATACTACCCTGTATGTTGGGCTATCATAATCCCTGAACTGAGAACCTCCCATTAAGCTACCATCGTTTGGGGGATTTTCCGGGATGTTCCAGGGACACTCGCTCCCTCAAATCCTGCAGGACGTTTACCGAAGTTGACATCCAGAGGGCTACCTACCATAACGGCTGACTGTAAGCATCATCCAAGGTCCGCATGCATGTTTGGCAGTCGAATTCTGTGGCGCGAAATCTCAGTTGACTCACTAGGATCGTGTCAACATGATACTGCTTGGCAAAGCAGACAGTCTGGCTCCTGTTCCACTACATTCCACATATTTTGGCCCAGTTTTTTTTTTTTTATATTTGCATGCCGAAAGATAATGGGCACGCTGTGCCAGGAATACCATTGACCTGATGGGTCCGCTGCTTTATGAATGGCAAAAGCCGGGAACCTACAGTACAGGGTATTGGGCGCAAGAGCTGTTCTTTTGGGTTATCGGAAGAGGATTGCAAAGAGCAAAGACGTAGCAAACCTCGATGTTAGAATGATTTAGAACGCAAGCAGATTCTGCTTCGAACTGACCATTCATTGAAGCTCCCACTCCATATGCAGTCCAGAGGGTCTGGGTCAAAAATTAAATCGCTAGGAAACACAACCATTGTTAATTCTTAGTCGCAACCCAGCCAGTCATAGTTCAACCCATACTCAGATGATGTGATCATTCAGTGATCGGAGTCCTTGCCGGCAGCATCCGGCAGCCATGTCACAGCAAGGCGCTTCTTGTCACTTCTGCGCCTGGATCGATGCCGGACGCTGCAACTGCTGGTGCTGGATGGCTCTGCACGGCTGGCGCGACACCTCCAGGTAGCAGGGAAGGGAATGAAGGATTGATAACAAAACAAACATTTTTTCCGAAACTCACAGAGACACACGAAAACATACGGAAAACATAACTTGCTCTTCCAGGATTCTTTGGAAGACGTAGAGGTGTTCGCCACGGATGCCAAAAAGCTCCCCAAACCGAAGCCACTGGGACACTTGGCTCGCAGCCAGAGTTTATGAAAGCAAACATTTTCAATGTCTTTGGAGGTCTCGATGCAAATCAGCTTCTGAACTGCCAGGAAGTGCCACATAGCTGTGGTTCCCCCACTGTGCCGGTGGCGATTTTGTCAAATGTTTGCACGACAATTCATTGGTAAGGGGTGAGGCTTTAGAGATCACATGAGATCGTTGCCTTTTGCCAACATAGTTTGTGTCAATGAGATTAGTTTTTGAGGTTCCTTGCGGGACAAGGCGCGAACTTCAGTGGACTATGCCGGATTCTCAGACGTCATTGTGTCACTGCGTTTGATACCGGTGGACTCTTGGGCAACTGCTAGACAACTCCAAACGGCGTTGAGGATCGATTGCAGACTGCTCCACCAGCGTTGAAGCTTACGGAAAATGAGTTCGACGTTGTGGTGATCCCCTTTGTTTCGCAGAGGCCTTTGCAACACCACGAATCCTAGATTTCAAATCCTGTCAGATGATTCAGATGATATTGTTTATGTCAGAGGCCACTAGACAGTTTGGCTTTGTGCAAGAATCAACCCTCAGATCCCAATGGCACGGTTCAATCATCAGGCTCTGCAAAGGAGATCTGAAGGCTCTGCTAACTATGATGTGAGGAACTTAGTTTCAGAGTTCTGTTTTGTTTGTTCAGGAACGAAAAGGGAAGATCACGCAATGCCAGGATGCGGAACTGCTCCAAAGATCTGAGAAAGTCCAGAGAAAAAACATGGTGAATGGCCACAATGGCAACTCATGTTTTTTCAATTCTATTCATTGTCTATTCATGTTTCCTTTCCATGGCATGTCCACCTGGCTGCCTAGGCGGGAGGCGCTTCGATGCTGCTCAGGCCATGTTCTTATAGCCGAGGACCATCATTGGGTATTGGTTGATGAGATTTAAGTGTGGAGGTTAGATCATGATGACCATGATGCATCATGATGCCTGTTTTATCTGTTTTGATCCAATTTTCTCAGTCCTCCATTTTTCAGTTTCCTGGGAGCCTTGAAGCCTTGTGCAAGACAAAGTGGTTGCGTAGGATCTAGCGGAAGAACAGCTGGTTGAATGGAAGCAAGTCATTCAGGCTGGGGCCGATTATACCCACTTGCAAGATTGGCAATGAACCTTGCTGCGAAAAAACGTCAATCGAACCTGGCTCTGTTTAGTCCGCTGCTCTGAAGCGGAACAGCTCATTGCAGCTGGCATTACACCATATTTTGGTGGCTTGCTTCTGCTCCCAACAAAGTACTTAGTACTTGTGACATAAACTTTAGACTTTAGACTATGCAACGAGGACTCAAACAGCACAGTTTGATGAACAGTGGCATTCAAGGAAGTCAAGGAAGTCAGTTTGTAACGATGTGAAGCTTCTATTTTTTTCTTGCCAGGGCGACTGGTCTGCCACAATCCTAATGGATGGGACACTCCCATCTGGAGAGGTCGGAGAATGCGAGAGTTTGTTTTGTGGTATGTTGTGGGTGGATGTGGGTGGCCAATTCGCAACATTTTCTACTGTGGTTTGGTCAGGTGAAAGATCATTTCTTGTCACCAATCTGCGACTCAAGGGAGCGAAGGCTTCGCATTGGCCGCGCCGGGGCAAGCGGTTTGCAGGTCGTCAACCGTTAACCCTTCAGACGCTCAGATCCCAACATTCAAAATCATTCAAATAGGGCAACCATAAGCAGATGGTAGAGTTGATTGTGTGTGCTGAATTAGTTCCCTTCAAATTTCAAGCATTTTCAGAGCCAATAGGAGAGAGAGAGGCACTGGCTCAAGAGACTTTGCCGTGGTCAAAAGCATTTGCTTGGCACAGGTATTTGGTGATCGACGCTGCCAGCTTCCAGGATCGGAAAGAAGCTGGAAGCCAAGTCATTTTGGATGCCAACAGCAGAAGCCAAGTCGTGAAGCGGCCAGGTCCTGTTGGCGTTGACTTTCGTACCAAAGCTCTGGGTTGATGGGTCCGGGTTGAACCATTTCGGACTGAGGCCCGGGCAGTGCCTGGATTCAAGCGCAGTTTCACGACACCAGTCTGAAAGACAACTGTCAGAAGGTTTCACTCAGCAGGCCAAAAGGCTGCTGAAAAGCGTAGTGACCCTGTGACCTGAGGGGTGACTCTCCTGTTTGGAGAGCTTAGATTAGACGGTTGCAATGACCCGTCTGTCCTCTAGGATCGCTCAAGCTCAAAGGAAAAATATGCTGGAGCCTGGCATTGACCGTCGCAGCTTGCAACGAGCAGACGGGTACACATTCATAAGTGGAGCCTGTGAATGGTGCGACTTTGGGATACTTTTGGAGGATTTTTTGTGATGCAAGGTCGCGTTGATTTCCCGCAGCTTGTTGGTATGTGATTCTTAGCGTTGGGCGGTTTGTCTGCTTTCCTGCGCAATACTTACACTACGGAACACTTACACCAGAGCAATGCGATCGTGAGCGAAGATCCTGACCCGCAGCGACAATAGCCAAGTCTATGTGAGTGTTTGACTTGCCTGCTTGCCTGCTACAAATTGGTATCCTTGATTGCAATCAAAGAAGATGCAGCAAGAAGATGACACTGATTTAACCTAGTTCATTTCAAGTTCCAAACACGTAGGGGAATCATCCTTTGCAAGGGCATTGGCGCAGATTCTCGCTTTTGTTTGCCAAAATCAGCACTAGGATCTTCGTTTCGGCAAGTCTCCACCTGTTTCGAGGGTTTGTCAAATTACTGCCGCCTGCGACGGGCCAAAACGAAAGCAATCAACCCCTTTCTTCATCTTTCTTCTCTTGGGGACCAAGCAAACTACAGACCCACAATTTGAGCCACAATAACCATCTCTTTTGCTTGTCGGCTGTGTCAGGGAACGTGGTTACGGATATCTTGCCCTTGGGAAAAGATGCTTTTTTTGACATGTTCATATACGGGAAAACGCGAGCCCTTGGTGCAGTTCTACGTCTTCAAATGTTTTTGTTCTTAGCGCTTTAGCAACTCGCAAGGAAAGTCTGCAAATAGTTTTTGGCAGGTTTGTGGGATAAGTCTGATAAGTCTCTTTTATTTTCTCTGGCATGGTTGTGGATTTGCAAGATACGCCAAAGATCACCTCGTGCTGCGGAAGAAAAGGACATTGGTATGCCTATGCCAACCAACCTATTGAAAACTGAATAGATTTGCACGAAACCGAAACCTTTGCCAACTGGACTGCTTCACCGCACTATCGCTCAGCGTCCGATCAGAAGTTAGCCTATTTCTTCTGGACCGGCACTCGATCTTGAAGCGATCATCCACGGCAAAAAAGAAAACATGGAAAACAAAAACAACGAGGAAAAAAGATGAAAAAAGGAAAAGACTTGCTGTACCAAAAAGCCGGTGAGGACGCACCCGCACCACATGCTGCCCTTGCCATACGAAACAACGGTGGACAACAAAAGCCAGCTACACAGATAATTTGATGGAAACAGATGGACATACATATATATATATATATGTAAGTAAATAAGGTGTAAAGGGGCCGACCGAGACCATTTGACGCAGATAATTAAATCGTGATCATTTGATAGAGACAAAAGTAAAATGACAGAGTGGAGAGGGAACATGATAGATCTTAAACTGCGAGTGATAAATGGAAAAGGTTGGCACATGGGAATCACAAAAAAAATCAGTGAAACAAGAGCCACATTCATAATGAGGACAGTCAAACAAATTCGTGCGCGGTAGGTAGCAACCGTTGTTTATCGTTTGAAATTCTGCACCAGCTTTGGCCAAAGGCGTCGAAAATTCACAGCACCAAGAATGCGAAACCAAAACCAATTCTCACATGCAGGTGCCAACGCCCCCCAAAAAATGAGATCGACCCCAGCGGCACTGATGTTGCTATTTTTTTCTTCTTTCGCCCCTCCGAGTCAGTGACGGTCTTTTCAGGACACGGGAAACAGACAAAACCAAAAACCTGACAAGTCTACAATGAAGAAACCACGATAAAATTGAACATACTCGTTCCCGAAGGAGGACCGCAAGGCAGTATGTTGGGGAATGGAACAGCAGCAACTCCAATCCGCCCCGCAAGCAGCAGGCCACGAGTCTGAGGAAAGCGGGGCTTGAGCCGAACCCAGACACGCAAACTGCCAGCAGGAACCAGCCTGGCGCGGTAACAGGTCAAACTGAAACAGCCGCCCCAAATTGCCCACCAACCGCAAACCTCAGTTCGCCGAGCAGGGGCGTTGTGCGTTTTACAACGTCGTCCAGGGTGCAGCAAACCACCCACCAGCTACAAGGTACATGCCGACACGTCAGCATCGTAGGCGGTTGTTCCACACGTTTGCCCACAGCCACGTGTTGAGCCGGTGTGCAGAGCGTGCTTGCAAGTCGCAGGTTGGTTTGATGGTTGCAAAGTGGTACAAACTTTGCAAACCCACATACAAAGGAGTTGGCTAGGCAAGAAACAACTGGGAACCAAAGGTTGCAAACAGCAGACCAAACATACAAACAACAAGGAGCAATGTTGACAGCCACCCGGGAAGGGCTGATTTTTTTTCTTCTTCTTTCGCCCAGCCGAGTCTCAGGTGAGAGCACGACCCAAGGAGGACAAAGGCCTACAACCACAAGACGACATGTTGATACAGAATTCCCTTTACAAACCAGCGTGGCACAACTATTTTTGACTTTGCTTAGCTGCCGTGGTCCATGGTTCGGAAAAATATATTTGGGAGAACTTGTTTAGATCATCGCCCCAATGTTTCGATGGGCGACCAGCCCCCCTTGCATGAAACAATGGCAAATTGTCATCGGGATTCATGTGCGGTTTCGATTAGCAAACTGCATGTGCCCAAGGGTTTGGGGAATTGGCAATTCCGTGTGCCAGCCTGTACGGTTTCCGGTAGTATATGACAAAACTTGAATATTATATATATATATATACGCCAGCGCATGATCGCCACGGCTTTTCATGCGTTCCATTCTGATTTTCCAATCCTCTCCATCGACCTTCGTCATTGAACCACAGCCCGTAGCATGCGATGTTGCGCAGCATCTGATTTCTGCAGCTGGTTTTCGTGAGTGGAACGGAATGGCGCGGTTTTTCCCCGGACGGGTAGAATATGAACCTGGAACGCCTGTAGGTGATCCAGTGGCAGCTGAGTTTGCAGCAGCCGAGATGGATGAAGAAGGGCAAGGTGAAGAAATTGTTGGAAGAAACATTCCAGAGTTTCAGCAAATTGCACCAGCTTTACGTGAAGATGTTGCAGATGAAAATCAAGTGATTGTCGGTGACGTCGTGGTCACTCCCAACAGTTCAGTTGTGAGTCTCAAAGAAGCAGCCAAATATTTGAAAATTTCAGCTTTTGGCAGTAAAACTTTAGCCGCATCAAGAATGAACACATCAAATCACTCCGACTTGCCTCACTTCAAGCTGCAAGGCAAGAATATCAAACTCTCAACCCATAGCCTCGTTTTGATGATGCACCTGCTCAACCCTCAGAGCGTGAACGTAAGTTGCATGAAGTCAGTCATGTTCCTTTCAAGAAATGGTGTTCATTTTGCGTAATGGGCAAACCCAAGAACAACAGCAAACATGCTACCAGCTTGCCTGAAGTTGCTCAACGTGAACATCCCACGATTCAGGCAGATTTCTACACCCTGGTTGGAAACCTCAGTGTGTTGATCCTCATTGATAGCTGGACAAAGTATGTGATGGCAGAGCCGTTGCGCAACAAGAACCAAGGTGTTGTTGGTCAAATGGTTGCGCGATTTCTTGCAACAATAGGTTTTTTCCACAAGGTTGAGGTAGCATTTGACAATGAGCCGGTTTTAGCAGCTGGAATGAGAATGGCGCAGAACAACACAAATCATGGCTTAGAAACAATCCTTCAACCTGGACTCATGTACGGCAAATCAAGAACTTCACTGGCTGAGCGCACAATCCAAAGCGTGCGTGGACAGGGCAAAACCTTCATTTCGTATGTGGAGCACAAGATAGCTGCAAACCTTCTTGAAGATTATCTTTTACATGCATGGGCATGATTCATGTTTCCTAGATTTTAAATCGTTTTCATGTCAGAAATGTGACAGGAGTGACATCACACATGGCACTTTGCGGACGTCCCTACAATGGCAGAATCTGTAGTTTTGCATGCGAAATTTATGCCCTAGATCCTCTAGAAACTTGATGCCAAAGTCAGTGGCGCCGTGGTGTTTGGTTAACACAAGATGAAGCCGATCACAATGTGGTTTGCGTTGGTGCCCATGAGTTGATTCGAAGCAAAGCAGTCCGAAGGACAGATGAGCGTTGGGATCCTGAAATGATTCTGGTCCATGGCTACACTTGGCACGTCCGACCCGCAACCCTGAAGAAGCAAGCTCAAGGCGCCGATCAACATGTTGATCTGATATCTGGAAGCGCTGTTCTGTTGAAGTTGAGGAACATTTCTGAAAATTCGACCTGGGTCATGTTGTCCCACAAGGCTGTTGTTTGCATTGTCCCAGATACCAAACAAATACAACAATGATTCCAACCTGCTGATGCTGAGTCTTTTCGTGGCTATGTCTGATGGGTTGATTGCTCCTAAGACTGCTTTAACCATCAACAGTTTTTCACCAACCAAGTTTTGAAACCAAAGGACTCGACAACTAAGATGACGCAAGCGACCAACTCCACGTCTTGATAGAATTCCACGTGCTGCTGATGAGTCGATGTACGAACACATGAGAATGGTTGACCGAAGTACCCATGAAATGATGGCTCTGATGAGAATTGCATCCATCACTGCGCTGGCTGCTGCATACGTTTCTGACTCTGCGCTGGAAAGTGACACAATCTTCTGTGTTCGACTGGAGGAGTAGACCAAGCAACCTCCAAAGAAAATGGCAGCTCCTGACACTGATCGTCGAGTGTCGCGGTCTGATGCCCAATCTGCATCACTGAACACTTCCAGCACTGGTTCCTCACACTCATAGGCCTTGAGTAGTCCAGAGTGGATTCCCTTCCATCTGAGAGAAACATGTTGGTCTGCATGACCAGCCAGATATCCCACCAGGTGCTTCAGCACAATCATCGTTTTCTGCGTTGGCTTTGATGAGAACGTCGAGAGATATCTAATCACATACTGACATTGTGGAAGGTCAGGTGAAAGATAAAGCAAAATCCCCACGCATGAACGGTAAATTGATCCATCATGAGCACTCAACTCCTCTGTCTTGTCAGGGATTTCAATCTCGGAATGTCCAGGTGACTTCTTGTTCTGCAAGCGCTTCGAGAGTTGCAACAACTTGCAAAGTTGATCCAAATGTTTCCCATGGATCTTCACCACCATGCGTCCAGACTCCAAAAGCTGGTGGGTGCGCTTGAGAAAAGTCAACTCTTCACCAACATTGGACATAATCTCGATAGAAACGTCATACCTTGACTGCATGTGTGGGATCAGCTGTTCTGTAACTACTTTGCATGACCCAACCACCAAGAGGTCATCCACGTGAATCATCAGCAAGCAATCACCAAGTTTAGAACGTAGGATGGATGGATAGGCTTCAAATTCTTCCATCCCAAGGCAGCTTTCACCAACAAACTTGACCAAGTCTCGATGCCACAAGAGGTTCCCATCACGCTGACCTGGAAGGACACGACCCAAACTGTATGAAACACTTTTCCCCGAGGCATCTGTGCAACGTACGCGTGTTGGCTGTTCCTGCTTCACTGTCAAGAAGGCGTCTTTGACGTCAATGGCCAACATCATCGTGTCTTGATGCTCTCGCAAGGCCAAAAAGCAAATGGGCAAAATGCGGCTGGCAATGTTCGAAGTAGCCGGTGAGAAGAGAGCTTCTCTGTCAGGCTGCAACCATGTGTGCTCTCTTGCAACCAAACGACTACGACGTAACCAGATAGCGTTGCCTTGCTTGTCCTTTTCTTTCCAGGTGCGCGCAAAGCGTGTGCTCAAGCTCTTGGCATCGTGAGGCAAATTATCCTCTTGCAAGACTTGGAGACCAGATCTCTCAACCTCTACTTGATCTGCTATGCTGTCCAAACGCTGAAGCTCATCTGCACTCAGCTCGGGCTCTTGAGGGCTGTACGGAAAACTGAGCTCATCCAAGTTGGGTCCCCCATCATCCATGGTCTCATAGGGATCCTCGTTGAGATTCAATTCATGCTGAATCATCGTGTCAACTTCATCAATCTCAAGGTTGACATCAGGCTCAATGTCCAAATGCTCAATCTTCAAAATCTGCCCCGAAAGTCCAAGATGTCCAGTGTCATCACGCTTGGCAGCTTTGCTGACAGGCTGCATACTTTCAAAAGAAGCATCATCCAAAACTTCAACTGCTGCTTCTGACTGTGGCGTTTGTGGAACAACGTCTCCATGAGCTGAAGAAGCTTCCACTGCTGTTGCGTGGAAACGCTTTGGATCACCACCAGTCACTTCATGTTGTGAGTCGTGTTTGCCAGTGGATTGTGAGGAAATTTCACCATAGACGGGGGTTTGAGGCACATCCACATTCATAGACTGGGCCTTTGAAGCACGCTTTGCTGCTGCTATGGCCTCTTCCAAACCTTCATCATTGAAGATGGGATCTTGTTCACCATCCTGCGGCTGCTGAGCTTGACCAAGCAGCCCCGCCTCGGCAGAAATTGCAGTTTCGTCAACATCCTCAAAAGGGTGTGCTCTGGCATACTCTTGAACATCCTTTGCATCCCTGTCTGGCAATCGAAGGCTGTTGTCAAATGCAACTGCAGGTGGTGGAACAACACGTTTTGCATGGACAAGTCTGTGCCCCAAACTTGCACATCCATAGTTCCAGGGTGAAGCTGTAAGTTCTCCAAGCAACTCCAAGTCAAAGGAAGTTGGCAATCTTCTGATGCTGCGTGTAAGAAAGGTTCCGTTTGGAGTTCCAATGATGTGAGAGTCATTTGAAATAGCTTTGCTAAGCCACACGCCACGCGTCCATTGGGGTAGACCTTTTTGACTGGTGCGCAAGAATCCCATGACTGCCTCTCCAAACATCGCCATCTTTCCACTGTAAAATCGTCCACAAGCACGCTCATATGCAGTTGTAGCACTCTTCACTGTGAAATGGTTGTGCAGCCAAGAGGAATGAACAATAGCCCATGTGTATACCGGGTGACAACATCCAAAAATTGGCCCTTTGCATCCAGTTTCCCATTCAATCTGAGATACCAGCAAGTTGGCCTTGGCTCTGATCACCTCCACCATTGCCTCTGCTGCGCCGTTTGCCCTTTGGCCTCCTGTTGGAGCAGGTTCAGCATGGGCTGTAATCCTCAATGTTGCACATGCTTTTCGAACTGCTTCAAGCAAAGAAAGAGTTGATGGTTCTGAATCACAACGCAAACCGATTTCAGTGTGACCACAATGGACAATGAAGCGGCACATCTCAGTGACAAGGTAATTGAGGCTTCTGCCACCCTTCTGTTGTGTCGGCAGGGCAATGCACATTCCAGTATCACGGTCAGTCACAATCAGCACTGTCAACTTGTCTGACTCATCACGCATTCGAGAGCAGTAAAAAAAATCAAATGACACAACGCTATGGTCAGTTGTTTCATGAGTCTGTCTCTTGTGGCCATCTTGCTTTGCGCGGTGAGCAACGCACAAAGGACACCATGTTTCATAAGGCTCATGCACCAAGTTGTGGGCCTGTTTCATAGACTCCGTGGGCTCAACAGGTTTCTTCTGAGGAATTGCAACACGTTCTGAATCCTTTTTGAGAGTAGCCTCCACTGCATGGGCTTCCATGAGCCCACGAGCCTTCACAAACTCCAGCATGCGACGCATACAGTCCTTCTTGGACCCGCGCTTCGACAAACCCAAAACTTCACATCCAGCTCGAAGAGCTTTCAAAGTGTTGTCACAACTGAGCACTACTCCATCAACTGTCACTGTACTCTCATCTGTAAATGGCACAATGTGCTCTTCATCCAACGGCTCTGCATCAGGCAATTCAGCTGGGGCCTCTTGCACAGGTTGTGGAGCTTGTTCCTGTTCACCTGTGTCATCATCACCAGCTTTTCCAACCACAAAGTAGGGTGCCTGTTCTCCAGCTACCAAGGTAAAACCAAGCTGTTCTGAAGCAACGTTGTGAGCATGCGCAAGTGTGAGAACTTCCACAACAGATTCTGGGTCGTAAATCTCACCTTCCAAGTCTTCCAATTCTGAAATGGATTCTCCAAATTCAAGAACTCCCAACCTTGAGCATTTCGAAACACCAGCGTTGTTCTGTACCACATCATCTCACCTCCAGGGCAAAGTGTAGTATCCACAAACCTTGCACGTCGAGTGGTCAATGCAAAGACCTGTGGATTCACCTTGTTCCATCCAGGGAGTAAACGTCTCAACACTGGCTGCAAATGGATTGCTCTCACGGCCTTTGGTCCTGGAGCTGTTGAAGTTGGACTCAAACAATCGTCCTCAGAAATCATTCGAATGGAACCTTTCACACAAAGTGAGTTGCGTTTGAAGCTCACGTTGACAAACTTGCCATTCTTCACAAGAAAAACTCCATCGCTGAAGTGCTGAATTTCCCAGCCTGCTCGAAGTATGTGACCAAGTGCAAGCAAAGGACAACTGATATTTGCAATAATGAAACGTTCACGCAAAATCACTCCATTGCCAAGGTCAACAGTTGCAAGTCTTGTGTCACGTATGTCAAGTTTTCCACCTTGTGCATCAATGAAGTCTTGTCCAACTGTCTCATGTTGACATGACCCACCAACATCAGCGTAAGTCAACGGCAGTGCGCTAGTATCTGCACCTGAGTCCAAAATGATCTCGGCAGAAGAAACACCTGCAAAAGACATCATTCTGACATGGTGCAAACGGTTGGGCTCATCATGCAAAGTTGGTGAACACGTCCAAACATTGTCATCATCACTGCAAGACATGTCAAAGTGGGTGACATCTGACTGCTGCAACATTCGAACAAGGCCAGAACCAGAAGCTCCTGAGTTTGAGAACTCTGTCAGGCCCTCAATGATCACAGTGCTATCACTGAAAGCAACACGGTTGACATGCCCAGAAGAACGATATGCTGAAGAACGATATGCTGAAGAACTGGGTGATTGTTGCGCTGTTCCGACACTGCTTGGACTTGATGCTGCATGTTGAGATGATCCATCAGCTTCAACTTGTCGAACAACACCATTGGCTTTGTCAGCCTGAAATTTGCGGCAATCTCGTTTCCAGTGTCCTATGGCACCACAGTAGTTGCATCGGTTAGCATCAGCGGTCTTTGACTGTATTTTCCCACCTCCTTTGGAGGGAGATCCATAACCTTTGCCACTCTGCTGGGGTTTTCCCTTGCCTTTGCCACCATCTTTCGATTTGCCTTTGTTTTTTCCTTTCCCTTTCTGTGTTCCTTTACCTTTCTGTCCTTTACCTTTGGACTTCCCTTTGACCTGGTTGATCTCCATTGGAACCACGCCAGAATCACCAGTCGCATAGGAAGTTACTGTGCCAAGGGCTGTGCCATTGATGTCAGCCATCACTCTGTCTTTAGACCATGTTGAAGAAATCCTTTCATGGGCAAGAACTTGTTCACGCACTTGTGTGTATGTTGCATCTTCTGTCATTGTCAGTTGCACATGGCGTTGAACATCTTTTGGCAAAATGCGCACCAACGTGGACAACAAAATGTCAGGAGCAACTTGATGACCTGCGCTCTTGGTGTACTCGTCTGACAGTCTTTCCAAAAGAAGGATCTGTTCCAGAAGAGTCTTGTCTTTGGTCATCACCGGGAACTGCATCACAGCATTGAGCAAGGCTAAACTGCGGCCTTTGGTGCGTGGCACATACAAGGCACTCAGCTGCCTCCATGCCTCAAGTCCATTCTGATGCTGCACCTGCCTCAGAATCTTCAGTGGCCTATGTTTCAAGATTCCACCCAGGATGAGAAAAAACTTCCTGGATCTCTCCTTCGAAGCCTCCCCGGCTGCAGTCTCCACAAAAGTTACTGTCAAACCAGGATTGTCCTCTATGTGCTTGAAGTCAGGCTCATACGCTGGGTCTGCGAAAAACAACCATTGTCTGAAAGAGAATGCAAAATCTGACCAGAGTGCTTGATCGCCGGCTGAAGTTGCACAGCCAAACTCCTTTTTGGGCACTGCACCACTTTGCTGGCTTCTGAGAAGCCAGACCTCGGTTGCCACGTGGTTGCCTTGACTGCTCATTGGCCTCCCTCAGAGCTGTGGCAGCCTGAGATGCTGCCTCTGCGGCTCTAGTCACTGCTTCAAGGATCTGCGTAGCTTGCGTGCCAGCCATGTTCACGACAGCAACAGCTAACCAAATCCAATGCAGAGAAACGTTGAAACCCAAATGCCAATAGTCCAAGGCCCAAACCAGAAATTGCCCAACTGTAAAACGCTGCAGTTGTCAACCAAAACAGTTCTCGTCCCGTCAGGTCCAATCTGCACAAACGCTCAGCTGGCAGTCCAGTGAAATCTAAAAGCCGGTCCAGGTCAGTCCACAAGCAATGATTGCTGAAAAAAACACCAAGGGAAAGCTATGGCGCTACCTAAAACCCTTCGCTGCAAGTTCAGCAGCTGGTGGATAGGTTTCAGTCCACCTTTGAGCCCTCACCAGAGAGTTGCCAATCTGGATCCTTGGGCTCCGCTACCATGCGGATTTTCCTTGAGTTGAAAGCGCCTCAAAAGTCTCACCATGTTACACTGCTCGATTTGTGCAGTGTCAAGTGACAAACATGACTGCTATGGCATGTACATGTACTGATGCAAGGTGCGTTGCATTTCTGCAAAGTTGCAATAGTTCTCAAGTGCGTGAGTGGTCCCTTGAAGACACAGCTCAACCTGATGTTGGATGGCGCAGCAAAGTATGCAGATGTGCGTGATCAGTTGCTGCGTTGGGATCGATCGCAACAAAAGTGGGCTGGTTTGGTCCTTCCTATGGAGGATGGTGCTGGCCATCATCACGATGATGCTGTCCCAATGGAGGTTGATAGGATTGGTGAAAAGAATTGGAAGAAAGGAAAAGGTGGAAAGGGCAAGAACAAAGGTGATGGAAAGAATAACTACTCTGGTGTGAAAGGGAAAGGAAAGACGAAACCCAAGGGCAAAGACAGTGGAAAAGCGTTTCAGAAAGGCTCCAAAGGTAAACAACAGAATGAGCCCAAAGGAAAAGGCAAGTCAGACAAGTCTGATAAGCAATGTTTTCGATGCGGTGCCACAGGACACTTTGCCAAAGATTGCTTGGCAAAGATCAGGAATGTTCAGGGTGGTGAACAGGTTCAAGGGTCACCATCTTCAACAACTGGTTCAACAACTTTTACCAGTGTTTCTCAGCAGAATGCTCAGCAAGGTGCATCGTCGTCCCAAGCTCAACAGGGCACCCAATATCGTGTTTCACAGATTTCAAGCCATTTTGGCACTCATGGTGGTGATGCCCGTTTGCAGCCAATGGTTTTTGATTTGCGTCAGGACCCCATTTCTCCTTCAAACTCAGCTTCAGTGCGTGTTGTACAACAGTTTTACATTGGTGACAGTTGTGAACAGCATGTTTCTCTTGGCAGTGTGCGAGTTGTTGTGGAAGAAGTTGATGAGAGTTTTGGGGATGATTTGCAAAACATTTTGATTGACAGTGGTGCTGATGCAGCTGTGGTTCCTGAAAGGTTTGCAACTGCAGGTATGGCCTCCAGTCGTCCCGACCTTTTTCTCCATGATGCGCAAGGGAGACAGATTCCTGTGATGGGAATGCGTGACATTGAAGTTCATTTGATGGATGAGACTGGACGTAAGGTTGTACTCAGAGAAAGTGTTGCAATCAGTGCCCATGTTCAACAACCTATTTTGTGCTTTGGACGCCTCATGCAATCAGGATGGGGTGTGGGTGCAGGTGAACAGTCATTGGTCCACTCCACAGGCGTGAGGATTCCATTGGAACTTCAACACCAATCAGTGGTCGTCAAGGGCTCAATTCGTGCAATTTCCAGTGATGTTGCTTCAATGGGTGTGCAAATGCTGAACAGAGTGAAATTCCTGGAAATGTACGTGCTGTGAAGGCAACAGTAAGACCTGATGTTTTGAGAGGTGGAATTGGCTGGCATTTGGATGACAGTGGTTTGGGGCTTGGAAGACACATTGCTGAAACGTATCAAGATCCTACGCTGGTAAGACCAGGAATGCATGGTTTCAGAAACAGAACTACTTTGGTCAAAGGTGATGATGGATTTTGGTATGTTTTGGAGCTTTGTGAGCCTCTTTACAGCCTTATTGACATGTCAGCAGAATTCTACGGCTACGACGGCATGCGTGAGGTTCTCACGTTCATCACTGAGGGAGAACAGCCACCTAGTTCAATGGGTTTCTCAATGAATGATGATGAGGGTGCAGTGCGATTACATGCCCATCACGATGGTGAAGGTGACCAAGACCCTGAAATCATGGCTCCTGAGGATGCCATTCAAGGCAGAGAGATTGCAGTGCCAGGTTTGGCTGAACCCTTGGGTGAAGGCCGTGAGATTCCTGCTGACCGCATCGTCGTAGACCCAGCTGAATATGAAAAAATTGTGGTGAATGGTGTTGAACTTTCAAGCACTAGCAGTCTTGCAGCTTTGCGTAGTGGTTGTGCATACTATGGCATTTCACAATCTGGAGGGAAAACAAAGTGCTACAGTCGAATTGTGAACCACATGAAGAAGCTGGAATTGGAACTGTTGAAGAACGTAGCAAAGCAGGCCAGTGAGGAGATGGAGCATGTCCCAATAGCTCAATCTTTGGCAATTCCACCATCAGAGGAGGAACAGAAACTGCATGAGTTGACACATACTCCTTACAAGCCATGGTGTGACAGTTGTTTTCTTTTCAAAGCTCGACAGGATAAACAGTTGCGTGATGACAGTTCCCGTTTGTCTGGCACTCCAACAATTTCTTTTGATTTGGCATACGCCAGAGCCATCCCTGAAGGTGCAAACCCACAGGGGATTACAACTTTGCCATTTCTTGTCATGCAGGATAGTGTGACTTCCTACGTTGGTTGTGTGCCACTGCGACCAAAGGGGCAGCTGGAATTGATGACCCGTGAGCTGCTTTCATTTACAGCTGGACTTGGATATTCAGAAGTGGTTTATCGATGTGACAATGAACCAACAATGAGACAGCTTTTGAAGTATGTGGTTTCAACAAGACTGGGCATGGGACTGCCCACACGTTCAATGACCCCTCCTGCTTATTCTCATGGGAACTCTTTGGTAGAGAACACAATTGGAAGGCTACGACCCTTAGCCTCAATCCTCATGCACTCAGTGAAGAAGCGCACAGGTCTTGATTTCTCAAGCAATCATGCCCTATGGACTTGGGCCCACCGTCATGCTGCTTGGTTGATGAACCGCTATGGTGTGATACGCAATTCAACACCCTTTGAACTTGTTCACAAGGTGCAGTATGGTGGTTCCATAGCTCAGTTTGCAGAACCTGTGTATGGCTTCTTGAAATCAGGTGCCAAGGGAACAGCAAAATGGCGTCGATGCTTGTTTTTGGGAAAGGTGGACTCACAGGACAGTTTCTTGCTGTATTCAGGTTCCCACCTAGTGCTCACACGAAGCATCAGGCGCATAGACTCAGACTGGAAGAATTTCTTGGCTTTTTATACAACTTTCAAGTGCAACAGTTGGGAATACAAGTTTGGGTTTGGCGGCCGTGTTGTCCCTACAAAGATCAAGCGTGAAGCCTTGTCAGCTGGCTTCCAAGTGCCACAAGGAGAGATTGAGCCAAGTTCTTTCCATGACAAGGATGCCGAAGATGTCAGAGAACAAGCACGTGCAGAGCTGAGAGAAGAAGCAGAGCGTGCTGCTATGGGTGAAGAAGATGAAAACCGTCAGAAGGAGTTACCTGCTTTGGAGGAGGATGCTCCACCAGGTGTTTCTTTTGATGAGGCTGAAGTGGTGGGTGAAAAGCCTGTGGATGTAGAGATTGGAAATGAAATTCAAGGAGATGTGAACCCAGGAGGAGCTGGGGAGTGCCCGTCCTTGCTATGACACGTATGATTACCTGAATGAAGACCTGCTTCGAAGCTGTCCGTCCATCTGAGTTTGGAAACAGCGGAAAAGATGACCTTGTTCACGATGTGGATGAAATTCGTCTGAGCGGGTGTCGTTCAGCCCTGCGCCAAACACACATGGTGTGAGTCCTTACCCCGCAGCTGCAAGTGAGGGTCCTCTGGGTGAATCGTCCGGTGTGGTCTGTCTTGTGGAGCTGTATGGTCAATGTGACTTCACGACCATCAAGCCGGATGTCGCCTGCTTTGGCGCCTGCTAACTCTGCTTCACGGAGCATATACCACAGTCGAATCACTGCCATGCCTCTGCACTGGGAGGTGTTCTCGAAGGAGAAGGCCGCGCCGTCATCGTCTGGGTCAATGGAGCCGATCAAGAGGCCATTGAACGCATCCTTGAGCTTGCCTGCTGATGCCCAAACTCCGCTGGATGGACCTGATGCAGTCCTTGATGCACAGTTTGACGAGTCGTGGAATGGGTGTCTTGAGGGTTCTCTGTTGATGTCCCATCACAGCCCGCCTTGAGCGATGCCCCAAAGCTCCTCATGTTGGTGGCGTCCAGCGGGAAGGCTGGAATTTCCCAAGCCTGCAAATTACTAAGTATGTCCGAATCCTGGCCTCCACGGCTGGGTTATAGTGGACCGCGCCAGGACATCCCGGTCAAGGGCCTGCAGAGACTTCTGTTTCTGGTTGGGTTTGGCAGCCTCCAGGCCTGCAGGTTGGCCATTGATCTCACTGGGACGTGAGGGCTCGGGCTGCTCTTCCGCTGGGCCAGCTGCCAGCGAAGAAGCAGAAGCCAGAATGGCTTCGACGAGCTGCCAGCAAAGCAAGCCCGCTTCGTGGAGCTCCTCTGCCTTCAACACCAGCTGATTGATGCTGGTGACACTATGGCGCACCAGGTTTGGGGCCAAAGCCTCCAATCCGACACGGCAGAGGGAATCCCACAATTCCCCAAGACTTGACATGAGTGCTCAGGAGCGCTATGTGATGGCGACGCGACCTGGGTGACTGGCGATGAGTACCCCACAAAAGCCGAGCTGGATAGAGAGTTGGATTTATGCCGCGGCAGGAACTGGCAGATGCCCTCCAGCCTATGGTCCAGTGGCGTCTTTCAATCAGTCATGCAGAAGTTCTTGAAGGGATTGAAGGGTATACAGTATGATCGGTTTCAGCACTCAGTGATCGTCACGGCCGATGACCTCACATTCCATGACACGTTCCCACCTCTGCACACCATACGATCAGGGCTCAGCCGGATCCAAGTGCATATGCAGCCGGCATTCGTCGAGCGGACCGGATCCCTCCGCGGCACCGTGCGGGATGAGTTGGAACAGTCTCAATGACCGAGACGACAGCGGCCACTATGAGACCGTATACCTCATGGTGATCGGGCATAGCACCTTTGGGGACCACATGCTGCGTTGGCCATGTTGACCTTAACAGAGGCCGTGTTGCCGTTCCCAATTTAAAGTGACTGCTGGATTTAACCGGTCGGTCGTGGTTGCATCATCATCCTCCATCTCCTCTCCCACCATGATGGTCTATGGTCTCATCGCCACAGTGATTCCATGCTGGCCGCAGTCCGGGGCCTGGAACATCTCAGTTCATGTTTGTGAGAGGCAGGTTAGAGGTCCAAGCGCCACTGCTAATGCCACCAGTCTCTGGCACAAACCTCTGAGTGGCGATCCCTCGAGAGCCGCGCTCATGGCTAAGAAGCCAACAGCCACCACTGGGTGGTCAGCCGCCTCTGGAAACGTTGAGTTTCGGGCGGTCTGTGCGTTGACCAACAAATTGGTCAACCACAAGGCGATGGCGGCGGCCATTGCACGAGATCACCTATCTGACTGCTTGAAATTGGCACTCGTGCCCAAACTCCAGTTGCAATGAACATGTGCACTGCCCTCTAAACTTTAAGCTTTCCGTCCCTCAATTTTCATCACATTTCACATCATCCCACGCCTGCCACGGACTTTGCACGTTCAAGTTGTCACCACGTGACGCAGCCCTGACAATGCGATTCGCAAAAAAATGCGCACACACACACAACACGACACGCCTAAAGTGCTGTGCCTGCCATGCAAAAAAATCAGATGGAGGTCTCCAAAGTGCTACACCTGCTACGAAACATGTAACGCATCTTTTGACAACGACGCGAAAGTTTTGCGCCTGTCACACAAAACAACTCGACACGCTATGAAACCTGTTGGAAAGTCACTTGAGGCCCGGGGGAACGATAGCTAAAGGTCGCATGAATGTGGAAATAGGTGAGCTGAACTTGGAAACATGCAGGGAAGTAGAAAGCATGCGCATGTCTCCGGCGTTTTTTTTGCGGCAGTGAAGTGAAACTGCGGCAGTGTGAAGTGAAACTGGAACAGCGGTGAAAAGAATTGGGGCGGAGTACGTGCGCTAGAAACGTGCCAGAGAGTTAGACAATATAATATTCAGATATAGGCGTATATCAAATACATTCAAATACATATGTAGAGAGAGAGAGATATATATATATATAAACACATAGTATGAATAAAGAAAATACAGAAAGAAAATCAGAACACGATATCGACACAAAGAGATAGACATGCATATACAGGCACAGGAGCTGCACACTGGAGAGGTTCACATGTAGAAGGCAGTTGCATGCTGTGTTTGGTGACATCCGATGGAGGTATAGCCAGCTGCAAACATACACGACATAAATGCAAGTGATCTAGGACTGCACCAAACACCCACCCAACCGTTGAGAGTGTTGCGGCATTTCTTTTTGAATAATATACCTTTGCAAATTTAAATTGTCCTTTCACTTTTTGATCTTTTTGCACTGCTTCCTCGTTTGTAAAAGGATGGTGGCCCTCGGACACATTTGAATGAGTCGTGCCGTTTGTTCTCACTTAGCAGATTGGCTGAGTCACACTTTCGCTTGGGATCCCCACGGCGCTCGTGAATGAGTCATGGAAGCTGCCGAGCGGGACGCGAAGACTTTAGAAAGCGAAGAGTCAAATCCAGAAGACAATGCGGATAGAGTCAAGATGCATGAATCAGCTCAGCGAGTGGACAGATTTGCGAAGGCCAGGGAAACCAACGGAAACGGTTAATATATAGCAGTGATAGTGCAGCACAGAGGTTTGTCGTGCTTCCTTTGATGTTCCGAATACCGGAGCTGAGTGAAGCACTACGCTGCAGGTGCATTTTCGTTCTATGGTTGGCATCAAATTTATGGGCCTACTGGCATTGGCATCCTTGTTGGCAGTTGAGTGGGTCTCTGAGGTGCCGGGATGACAGTGATGCTGCAGTGATGCTGCAGTGATGCTTAGCCTGCCACTTTTTGGCAGGTCCGGTCAGATGAGTCGCAGCGGGTCATCGAGCTCACCAGCTTGGGGAAGGAGACACAGCCCCACATGAATTGCATTGAGGACACTCTTAGGACTACTTAGGACTACTTAGGACTACCCAGGATGGCCGTCGGATGGCCACTAAAAAGTCCTAGGCCCTGATGATCTCCCTGATGTGTTGGGCCGTGTTTCTGATAGTTTCTGCACAGGATGTTCAGCTTTATGACCTGGTGTTGACCACCTCTGCCCGAATGCTGACGCTCACGGGAGATATACATCACCGAGACAACTATTTTCTCAAAGTTGAGCCTTTAGAGGAGATTCATTTTGGTCACAAAAGGCTAAACAAGTGGGAATGTGTGCGGGCTTAGCTGCTTAGCTCTATCAAGAGTACGCATGAATACATATTGCGTTGACTTTTGGTATGCAGTGCGTGCATGTCTGATAGGATTTTGGTGTGTTTGATTGATTGTGTTTGCGCGTTTGAAGGGGGCTCACTTTGTGCCACGCGCACATGCTGTTCGCACAGGAAGTTCTCTTTTCTGCTTGGGACTTAGTCCTAGTGCATTTCGCATATTTCGTTCCTCCAGGACGCTCTCCGTGGCATTGAAATGAAAGCCCCGGAGATTGCATCCAAGCACCTTGGCATACCTTGGGGCAGCTTAGTGACAGGACAGGCGAAGCAAAGGAGAGAAACTGCTGTTGCTCAGGGGCCCCAATGACCACCATGGCCACCAGTTTTTTCGAGAACTTGTTAAACAAATTACTTGACTCCTTGCAGCCGCTAGAAGGTCTAGAATCCAGTGGCTGAAGCATGACTTTCGGTTGTTGACAGTTGAGGTTCAATGACCTCACTGTAGTTGCCAACGACAAGCTAATTGCTTTGGAGGCCTGCTGGAATGAATGGGGAGGTGAAGGAACAATTTGCCAACAGTAAAGACATCCCCGCCAGGAAATGTGGACAAGTCTTACTTTGACCCTTGATCGAGCGCCATCGCCAAATTCTGCCTTGTAAAATGGTCTCCTCCAGCCATTAAGTTTAAGGTCTGATTGTCAACCAAGTCCGAGCCGGGGTATCCACGAATACCAGTAAAGGAATGCGAACGAGACATCTCAGACACAGACAAAATCATACACCTTTCTTTGCGGCGGTGTGGCTTGATCAGGGAGAGGCTTTGGATCTCGCTGCAACCAATCGCACCGCAGCAACTGCAGTTCTTTTTGGCAAAGAGTACCTGGCCAACAAGGACTGAACGGGTAGTGACAGGTAGTGAAGGGACTGTGCTTTTGTCATGCCTGAGCAGCTGTGGCTACCTACAGGCATGCACTCTAGCTGGTGGAGGCTGGCCTGCTGACAACGCAGCCAGCAGAGTTTGATGCTTTCCTGATGGCAGGAGCTGCTCGCAAATGGGCTTGCAGTTCTGGACCGTCTCATAGGTGAGTCTCGTTTCTTGGCGTAAGAGACAGCCTGGCTGCGCGGCATTTTCACATGGAATGTTTGGCGTGGCCGGGCTTCGCAGGTGAAAGCCACGAAGCAACTCAAACCTGGTGGTCGTGGGTAAGTACCTCCGTGGTCATAGCGGCTTTTCTCAGCGAGGCTTGGATCTGAGATTTGAAAGTTTAGAAACCATATGCGCGAAAATGACAATAGTTGCCGAAAGTTGCTGAAAGTGTCATACCTTTATTAGAGCCACAGGTCAACGATGCCCAATGATCGATTTATGGGAGATGAGGACATGATTGTGCCAGCGGGGGGAAAACCGCGCCAGTAGTCGTGCACGTTTTTGAAAACACGCATATGTTACTGGGTCGGGGGGTGGGGTGTGTTAACGTTCATGTTAACTTGCGTCACATGCACATGCTAAGTCACATCTTGGATTGGCGGGGTGGGGTGTGTTAACGTTCATGTTAACTTGCGTCACATGCACATGCTACGTCACGTCTTGGGTTGGGGGGGTGGGGTGTGTTAACGTTCATGTTAACTTGCGTCACATGCACATGCTACGTCGCGTCTGGGTTTCCCCCTGCTGGCATCATAATTGTAGGATGCGCGCAGATGTTGATACAGATGTAAAACAGGAACAAGACCTTTTAACCTGTCGACACTATAAGCTTCATGTTGTGATTTGCTTTTCATACAATCAGAGTGCTATGTCTCACCAAATCGGCCATACCATGCAGTCTTGCGACCAGAGTCAACAGCCATGTGAACCCAAAACTGGTGCGAAACATCAGGGTGTGGCAATGGCGTTGGATGAACTCCAAATCAAAAAACCTTTTAGAGGTCACGGGTCGCTCTTTGAAGAAGCGCATGGCGATGTGAGAGGAGGAAAACATCGCGCGTTTTCAAGAGCAAATTCCCTGTAAATTACAGGACCTCATCAAAAATGCCCTTCAAATTCCCGGGGAATTTTAAGCCTTAAAACTATAGTGTGGAATGAATCAATAGTTTCGCTATGGCGAAAGCGACATTTTTTCCAACCGCTCACAACCGCTGGCGCAATTTTCCGATGATTGTGATATTTGTGATCTTTTTCCCACAAGCGGAAACGCTAGCGGAGCAGTGAGAGAGGTGGTTCGAATCCACGCACAAAACCCCGCTGATACAGTGATACAGGAAGAAGGTGGATGCGCCCAGGGATTGACACCAGTCTTTGAGGCGTCGCGACAAATGGAGCCGATGCTTACAGTGGTGCCTGGACAGAAACCAGATGCCAAAATGGCTGCGTGATGTCCATGGCCCAGTGTTTGCGCCTCAGCCGTTCAGAAATACCAGGCGACCACCATCCCTGGGCTTTCTTTGGGCATGCCTCAGGCGTCCAAGAGGCTTGCCTCAGGCGTCCAAGAGGCTCAGCACAGGCTCTCCACCAGACCAGAAGGTGCAGGCATCCAGCACCTGCTAGCCAGACCGAACTGAAGGTGGGCTACACGACGCCCGAAGCCGATGCAGACATCAGAGAGGAGCTCACAGATGCGCGCGGCAGCCGTAGCATTTCAATGGCGCTGCCTGTCTACAGACCAGCGGCTGCTATGGGTCAGCCGCAGATGCTTCAGCCCTTTGCTGCTCCTCTTGCTGTGCCATACGGCCATACGATGTTCACTGCCGCATGATGAGTGGCACATCGCGAGCGACTTGGTGATGAACAGTGGAGACTGCTTGAGGCTGAGAAAGAGAAGATCGAGAGAGAGAGATGCGCACCCAAGCCTGCGAGGCCCCTCAAGGTGCTGCTCCAGCATGTGCTCTTGCAGACGCGCTTGTGCCTGAAATGAGCTGGCCGGTTGCCTGCTGCCACCCAGACCAAGTCAAGGCCAACGCGCCGTGGAACAGCGACGCCAATAAGATTTACCTGGCCCACTGCTTCACATTGCGCTTCGGGCTGAGCCACTTCCCGCACACCTTCCATCAGACCAGGAGCAGACTGAGGCAATACAGGCTTCGAGGCTTTCCTGAGGGCCGTAGCGGTTGAAGGTGCTGATCGTTTGCACCGGCCAGAACATGCTGTGGACAGCTCACGCGCCACAGCAAGCAGCGCCATGTGACGGCTGGGTGTGACCTGGCACTCTTCCGAAAAGGTGACAAAAGAACCTGCTGTGCGTCGCCTCTGCTGCATATGGCTTCTTTCATCAACACACATGATTGTGAGGGATCACTGAAACATACACACAGAACACGTCCATGTCTCATGAGGCCGGCAGTTCCCGTTATATACACAATATATTTACAGTATAGTATAGTACTGGTATCACAGTGTACTGCGTGATACAACATGATATATATAATCATACTTGTGTATGATTGTCTTTTATATCACATACCTCAACTTACGGAGGTTGTTTGCCATAGTCATTCATATTTATTAATGCCCCCAACTGCAACCCCAACTGCTGAGGTGATGCTGATGGTGGTTGTGCACAGATTGGATCGCCGCCTCGAAATGCTATCCTTAGAGAGTGATGTGTACCAAAACAGGTAGGTCACCTGGGTCCGTGGCGGTCTGTGCAGGTTGAAGTGTTCGTCTTGTTCAATAAATAGTAGGCATATGGTGGAAGCGGGGATTGTGTGGCCGTGCTTGGTTTCGAAAATTGTTTGTAGCAAGTTAGGCAGTTCAGTTGAAGATATCGCGCGGATAAATTCAGAAGAAATTGTGCTTTCCCAGCCACAATCCCTGGCGGAGGTATGACCTGTGGTTGCGCAAGCAACTATTAGATTCCGCAGCGTCAACAATGAAAATGTTGCAGATCAAAAAGTCAAGGCAAACCCTTGACAGGCAAGGCATGAAGCAAGGGCATGCCATTGAATCGGCAAGGGAAGGGCCTCAAACATCAATTTGCCGTTGCATCATGTGACCAAATTGGCGTTTAATCGGAACAGCGGTTCAGCATGTGGCAACAACCCTGGCAGGTCCCTGACCGTGCCACAAATCCACGAAGACAAGACACCTCGTCTCATCATGCGGAGAAGGTGCTTATCCCCATATTTTTGCGCGCTGTTCAGATGCCAGATGTTCCATCCCATCAGGATCTGGGTCAAAAAGTTGAAGAATGCCAGTAGCAACTAGTAGCAGCGGACATGAAGACGGTTAGATGTCTGATTCAGATCAATTGATGGACATTGGTGGCAATTTCATGCACTTTCAGATGTTTTGCCGTCTGGGGTAGCAGCTACCTGAGCTGTCAGGCTCTTCGTTTTGTCCATGATGGCTGAGGGCTTGGCACTCTCAGGCTTCGCCATTCCGGCCACGCTGACTTTGATCGCAGCTTGGCAGCCACTGAATCGATCTGAAACCAGGCTGCCTGGTCAGGTCTTCAGAAATTGAATCATATCATCACCAAAGTCATAGAGATATCATAGATATATCAGTGATATTAGGCAAGAAATAGCCACCGCAAGTGGCATGGGAAGTGAATCCGACATGATTAACACAGACATCGTCCTAAATCAAAAGAAGATAAAGAAGACCCACCCTGGTATGCGTAGTTGTGTAGTACTGTCTTGGCATCCAAGCATCAGGACGACAAAGAAAATTCCGAACCGGATTGCGGCGAGTCACACCTGGCCCCCCTGCATCGATAAAACTTACAAACCATCAGGCAGAGGCATTGTGTATCACAGACACACAGAAAGAAATACGGTATTAATTAATTACAGCACGTAGTACTGTAATAATAACAATTTAATAGTACTGTAGTAGCAACACCTTATATAAGATAATTATTATTGTTACTGTTTTTTAATAACTGATGTATTTTTCATTTCATTCATTCCATTCCTTCCTTCCTTCCTTCCTTCCTTCCTTCCTTCCTTCCTTCACCCATTCATTCATCCATCCATCCATTCATTCATTCCTTCCTTCATTCATTCATAGATTCATAGTACTATTATTGATTAAACTATGATTCTATTTTGACTGTCATTAATTTTGTTATCATAATTCCTGACATTATAATTATTCTCCTTGTTGTTTTTTATGGTCGAAGGAAGTTTAGAAGTCAAACTTCCGACAATATGGACAGATGAAAAGCAGAGCAGGGCAGAGGCAGAGAGAAGAGAAAGATCAGAAGAGAGAAGAGTAGAAGAGAAACAGTAAGAAGAAAGAAGATGGAGATGCGCGAAAAGGTAGGAAAGTCGCGATTCACTGTGTTTTTTCCAATGATTTGTGGCTCCGGAGGGTCGAAAAGTAGGCTCGCTAAAGCGGCGGGTGCGGAGCCAGCTGGCCAGAGGAGAGATGAAAAAATGCACGCCGTTGTGGCGCGAAGCACGTTTCCAAGTCAAAATGGACAAAACACACCAGGTGCGGACCACTTTTGGAAGCTGAGATGTTGAAAAAGTGCACGCCGTTGTGGCGCGAAGCACATTTCCAAGTCAAAATGGACAAAGCACACTAGGTGCGGACCACTTTTGACACTTGAGATGTCGAAAAAGTGCACCGTTGTGGCGCGAAGCACATTTCCAAGTCAAAATGTACAAAACACACCACGTTCGGACCACTTTTGGAAGTTGAGATGTCGAAAAAGTGCACGCTGTTGTGGCGCGAAGCACATTTCCAAGTCAAAATGTTAAAAACACTAGGGCTTCGGACCACTTTTGGAGGTTCAGATGTCGCTTCGCTTCACTACAATACACTACATTACAATACACTACACGAAACTACACTACATTACACTACACTACACTCCACAACATTACAACTATAACTACATTCCACTACACTCCACTACACTAAATTACACTACACTACACTACACTACATTACACTACACTACACTGCACTACCTTCCACTACACTTCACTACATTCCACTACACTACACTTCACTTCACTACACTACAACTACAACTACACTCCACTACACTCCACTACACTCCACTACACTCCACTACACTACAGCACACGACACTACACTACATTACACTACACTACACTCCACTACACTACATTACGCTACACTACACTCCACAACACTACAACTACACAACTACACAACTACACAACTACACTCCACTACACTCCACTACACTCCACTACACTAAATTACACTACACTGCACTACATTACACTACACTACACTCCACTCCACTACACTACATTACACTACACTACACTACCTTCCACTACACTTCACTACATTACATTACACTACACTCCACTACACTACAACTACACTACAACTGCAGAACTACACTCCACTACACTCCACTACACTACATTACATTACACTCCACTACACTACATTACACTACACTACACTGCCTTCCACTACACTGCACTACATTACACTACACTAGACTCCACTACACTGCAACTACACCTACGACTACACAACTACACTCCACTACACTCCACTACACGAAATTACATTACACTACACTACATTACACTACACTACACTACATTCCACTACACTCCGCTACACTATACTACATTACATTACACTGCATTACACTGCATGACACTGCACCACAGATAGACAGGTAGACAGATAGACAGACAGACAGCAGATAGATAGATAGATAGACAGCTAGACAGCTAGACAGATAGACAGATAGACAGATAGACAGATGAAAGAGAGAGAGAGAGATAGACGATAGATAGATAGGTAGATAGATAGACAGATAGATAGATAGACAGATAGATAGGTAATTAGATGAAAGAGAGAGAGAGAGAGATAGATCGATAGATAAATACATACATAGATAGGTAGGTAGGTAGATAGTCAGAGAAAGAGAGAGAAAGAGAGGAGACCTCAACCACCTTTCGGTCCATCAGCGGCTTCGCTCTGCCATCCCTGATTCAGGTTTCCTATTTTTGAAACTTCCGCCACCGCCTTGCGCGGTACTACTGGTATAATAATGCGTATACGTATCTATATATTGTAAAAACATTCAAGTGCATGCACCAGTTTTTCACTGGCAAAAGGTGTTTGTCTGCGTGCCACTATTCTGTTTGCAGGAGGAACACGTGTTTAGGTTGCAAATCACACAGGGCTTAGGGGAATCAAAGATCGTGTCTTGCAGTGTTTGTTTCATCCTCCTTTTCTCGCATTTGCTGGCATGTTTGCCGACAAACTGGGCAAGTGGAAACACTCAGGCATTGAACAATGCACAAACAGCAGAGCCCCTCCAGAAGCTGCTCCTCCACGCGAAGAGCACTGAGACATGTCCTGACTGGAGGGTTCCAACGAGGGCCCGTGTATTGAGTGAAATTTAATCTAATTAGGTGCTGCATTTTTTAAAAATATGCCGCAACTGAGGAGTTCTATGATATGGCGCTCACCACCAGTGCCCAGCTTTGTGTGCTGACTGGCGATACGACATGGGCACAGGCTAGCTTTCAACCTTCTTCCCCATTTTGTTGGATTTCAAACAGTTCAAACATGCAATTCACACATTGGTTCAAGATGGCCTTGCGCCAGAAATGCTGAGCATTTGTTCTAAACCCTGTGTATTGCCTGCACCTACTTGCTGTGTTCACTGTACTTCAAAGATCATGTCTAAAGAACATCCAGCTTCCAGCATCGGCCACCGTGCCAGGGCAGGACATAGCATAGACGATGGAATTGAATGGATAAATTTATCCCCAGATGTGCAAAGAGAAAGTCGCTTGATCCAAAACCTTCCAAAACCCTAAGACACACACACACACACACGCACCTTTCACACGTCTTTTTTCTGACGCAATCGTGCAGCTTTACGACGGCTACGTGGCCCCTATGGATGATACGCTGCTGGGGCTGTCGGAGGTGGCTCCTGGCATTGCGGACACCTTTGCCAGCAGCACTTCCACAGCCAACACCTTCCTGATTGTGTTTGGGCTTTTTGGGCTTGGCCGTTGAAGAATTGCAGTAGGTTGTTTGAGGTTGTTTGGATTGCACATCAAACTTAGGTTTGAAAAGGCTTCAAAACGATGGCACCAAGTGTTTGTCAGGTTCACATCAGATGACAGATGTAATGTATAAGTAGATGCTTCATGTTGCTTCACCATGCGTAACCAATGTTGATCAATAGAATTTCTGGAATCTAATATGTCACACTGTATCAGTATCACCCGCAGTGAAATCCCGTGAAATCCCAGGATTTGGAGACGGTGGCGCTGGAGAACTGCGGAGTTGACAATCGGCGTGGCACGGAGATCCTGTTCGGCCCGGCCTACTCTGGGAACAAGACGGTGCTCCTGCAGGGTATCAAAGATATCACCCACGCTGCAGAGGTAGCGCTGAAAGATCATGAGGACCACAAGGAAGAGCACACGAACATGGCGCGTGACTTGGCGGCCAATCTTGGCCATGTTGATGTCAAATGTTGAGGGTTAAGACGGTTAAGATGTGCAAAGGTGAAGGCGTGAAAAACCAGCGCCATCACCTACATGGATCAATATGGATCACTAGTCACTAGTCTCTATATAAAGATACGGTAGATACATGTTTAAATAAAAAGCAAACACGCGCGCACACACACACAGCTCTCTCTCTCTCTCTCTCCATCTCTCTCTCCATCTCTCCAAACACTAGCTCTCTCCAAACACTAGATCCACATAGCCTACAGCATTTTATTCCCAATGACCGCCTGGATAGCCGATATAGGTTCGATTCCTGCAGTAACCTTGCGCCTTGAGGTGTGTTACTCATCATCAGCACCTTTTTGATCGTTGCCGCAGATTTGTGCACCGTGGTCATCGCTGCTTGGATGGAAGCTTTGTCTGTGACACACCACAAGGACAGGGGGCGTCCGTGCTGCTGCATATTCATCGTTCCTAAAGAAGACACAACCCGTTTCTGCTCTCAAGTGTAATGACTTTTGTGACTATTCTGCAATCAGAGGAACCTGTTGAACAGGCAACCTGCTGAGAATTTAGTTTGAAGTTTCTGCATTTCATCACACCAGCTTTTTCAGCTGAAAGGACCTCGAAGATGCGGAGGTCGAAGCAAAGTTCATGCGGAATCTGCTCGCCATGATCCAAACTTCGTTGGTCACGCAATCCGCCAACGCTGGCAACTTTGCGAATATATCGAATATGGACTCTAAATCGGAGGAGTCGAGACTGCTTGTGCAGGCAAGGGAAAACCCGAAAACCAGAAAACCAGGCACAATTATGGGCAATTGTTTTTCCTCCCAAATGATTAGGCGATTGATTTATTTCTTGCTGAGTATATTGCACTTGTGTCAGCAATTTTAGCCAGATCAAGAATTTAGCTTGAAACAGTTTGAAGTCTCTGAGCCATCTGAAGGCTGGTATCTACGATAGCGAATACGATGAGCTACACGAATTCAAAAGACACATAGCATCGATTTGAGACATCACCAGGTATGATTCAGAGCACCAAGCCGCTCTGCACATCATGTAAAAACGTCTGGTTTTCCCAAAATCAACCCCCGTGCCCTAAAGGAATTGAGAAAAACATGGTCAAATGACTCACATGCAGCTCCTTGAATCGTGACCTGGTGTTGCATTCCGCACCACCGGTGCATTCACGAAGCTTTCAAGCTGTAAGCTTTCAGGAAGCTTCTGTGGAGTTTCTGTCGGTTGGGGATTGTTCTGTTGGCAAACCGTGGGCCAAGCCCTTTTTGGGTTCTGCCACAGTACAAAATGTACAAATCGATGCGCTTAACCACCGAAGGTGGTTCCATGGCAGAGACAGTGTTATTCAGAAACCGGCTTGAGACGATATGGCGGCTATGGCGTCGAATGTGCCCTAGTGAGGTCGTGCTTTGGAGTCGGGCAGTTTGGCGAATGTCGAACGACATGAGTCGACAACTCTGAACTTTGCGTAGATATTGCGATTTGTCATGATTCGATCTGCCGGAAGTATATTCAATATTATTTAATTACTTGTCTTCTGTCGAGCTGTGCTCAAATGTCTTGGATGTCTTGTTTAATCATGTTTAATCATGTTTAATCTGAAAGTTGAGTAGACATGCACTTTGCAGCCGTATTGATCACAGAGGGCTTGCCAAACTTAGAGCAGGGGACTATAGCACTCCACAATGGGACGCAAACAAAAAACGGGCGACTTGTCAGAGGTTTGACATGTGTTTAATTGCCAAGTTTTTTGCTCCACTCTGCAGGCAGTTCTGAATCGGTGCTGTGGTGTACTCCATGTTGACGTGGCTCATGTGCGCATGCCACATTGGATTGTTGCATGTCTGGTCATTTTTGTTGTCGCTTTCTAGAGATTGCCCCAGCTCCATTTCCATTCCATTTCCAAACGTCCAAATCCAAGGGAATCAAGATGGACCCGAAGGAGGCCTGCGCGGAGCTGGCCAGCAGATCCACAGTTCTCAAGATGCGTTTGTCCCAAAATGGGGATACGATACACCGGGACACTCCATGATACTGGAACATGTCCATTTTAAGAGAGACAGTGATGATAACCATCGGATCTTGCTCCGCTTTCAGACACATCCATATCAGTCTTTTGGACTCTTTTGGGTGGTTTGCCATCAGCGAGAACTTCCGTGCTGCTTTTCAACAGGCGAAGGAATGAAACAGATGCAAAGCGCTTTTGCGAACTTGCAGAGAATGATGGCCTCAAACTCAGCTTGTGGGTGGAGAAACGCGGAGAAACGTGGAGAATGTGGGCCGGTTAGGACCGGTCTCCACGCTAAGGCCATGAGCAGTGGCGGCGCCCCCGATATGCCTGGTGGAAATCAGGGCCCACCCAACCCAATGATGGGAATGATGGGCGGTATGATGCCACCCATGATGGGCATGCCTGGTGGCATGCCCGGTGGCATGCCTGGTGCCATGCCTGGCATGCCGGGAATGTTGCTCGCCAAAGTTGGGAGATCAATCCTTTCGACCAGTCAAGTTAGACTTCTAGGAACTTGAATCACCCTCCCTAGGGCCGCAGGGTCTGATGGGTTGAGCTCCAAGGAATCCAATGCTGATGAACGGCATGGTGCGTCCACCAGGCCAGCGATTCATCCGATTTCAAGAGGGTAGAGACTGGGCATGCGCTCACGGTCAAAAGCCCCAAAGGGACGAAGGGATGACCCAGACTTCTCCCCTGAAAGTTGAGTATGTCGAGTATCACCTGGTCAGCATGGCAGGTGCACCTGTGGCACCTCCTCCGCCCCCACCGGGGGCACCAGAAGCTTCAAAAGGTTCAGGTGCTCCAAGTTCTCGCGTCAGTGGGGACAATTGAGGAGCATTGAGTAGCACGGCATTTGCATGGCAATGATGTGAGGCCATGGGGTGGGGCAGTGGCTCTAGAAAGCTCCACGAAGCCAGGTGGAGAGCCGAAGATCCTGCCTGGATTGAAGCCAGGGGACTGGCTCTGCCCTGCATGTGGCCAGTGCCTTATAGCACCTCAATTTTGTGAGATATTCCGAGACCTTATCACCGGGTGCCCAGGTCAGAACTGCTTTGCCTCCAAATTTCAATGTCCTAGATGCGGAAGGCTGGAATGAACAGCCTTTCCATACTCAATTCCTGCTGCTTGGAAATTTTCCGGTGCAGGAACAAACGTGGAGATGCGGATGATGTGTACGTCTCGGAGCATGGCAGGATCCATCCTGTTTCCTGACGGCAATGGACAGCAAGAATGTGCCTATCATTATTTGCTGTGCGATGCCACTTGGAACTGCGCAGTTGTCAAAAGATTAGCTTAGCTGATGCTAATGGGGCCAAGGACATTCAGGAGCTGTGTGACGAGTATTACATTGAAACCCGCCACATTGAGAAGCTTAATGAGCTTATGAAAGACAGGCCATGAAAGCTGTGATGAGCGACAGACAGGGAGATTTATTTGGAATGACTCCAAATGGTCAAACATGTTAAAAACACATGGCTAGCTTTAGCTGCCACACCAGGCACGATACCTGGGTAGAAGACTTGTGCCTTGGAATAAAGTTGGCACTGTCGTAATTTTTGCAGCTGCCGTTCGCGTTTTCAACGTCACGGCGCTCGAACAAATCAGGAAGAAACTGAAAGAGATCATGGAGGAGGCTCGGTCACCCTGCGGGATGCTGGTGGTGAAAATGAGCCTTGGTAAAGCAATGATTGGATGAAAATGGTCTTGATATGTGATATGTGTTGATATCACCAAGCTGTTTGATTTTTTGTCGAGAAAAAAACGTGGCTCATCAGTCCGCCTCAATCTGTCCGAGGAAAGAGATGGAAGATGGCACATTCGTGGCAATCAACCGAGACAAGAGGCGTTCCGCTGACAGTGGTCAGCCTTTCCGGGGCTGTTTCACTAAACGTATGTGAGAGACAAAGGGACGAATTGAACTTTGCCTGCCAACAGCATGATAGAGTTTAAATATGTTTGAATTTAACAAAACCTTTCAAGATTTGCCAGTGAACTCACTTTGCGAAGGATGCAGCACTTGAAGGAGAAGTTCAAGCTCGATAAAATTGCTGAGACCCGCTTGTCAGATATTTTGGCCCGATGTTCTGATGAGAAGAAGGATGAATATTACCACGACCTCGAAAGGTGCTGCCCGGGACTCCATTTTATTTGCACAAATTGCACTCCCTCGCATGGTTTTGCTTTGATTTGATGTTTGAGTGGGCCATAGTGGGCCGAGTGTACATATCGAAGATTTATGATTCCATTTCTTTTGAGACTTGTGAACATTTCTGCCTGGCCCACATTCTCCAATGTTATTTGATATGGAAGGTTCCGGAAGAATTAGCCTTGGGTTAGGGTCCTGGCAGCGAATTCTAGGCACTTCGAATGCTCTGGCAAGCCTTCCGCCACGGCCATGCTTCTCATGAAGAAATTAGCCAATGGAGAACCTCTTGGACACTTAGCTATTGAATCAGGTCGATGCCATCCAATGTCCAAATCTTTCTTCGAGCCAGAGAACAGATGATTATTGTCCAGCATTTGACTATATATACTGTAGTTAACCAATTGTTAAACATGGTTAAATCGTAAACCACTCCAATCAATTTTTGAGTGGATAGTAAGATTAAATAGATAAAACCTGCCCCTTTCTGGCTAAATGTTTGTTAAACAAAAAAAATGTTGGTTGAACTGAGGTCCTCCTGGCCGTCCTGGCCCTGGCAGTTGGTTGGACCGACAGAAAAATGGTGACCGCGACGACCGTGGCGGCGGTGGTGGAGACCGACGTGGCGGCGACCGAGGTGGTGGTGGTGGTGGAGGAGGAGGCGACAGAGGCGATAGAGGTGACCGAGACCGCCGTGGTGGCAGGAGCTGAGTGCTGATGTTATGAAAATGGGAACATTTCATGAAATTTCTCATAAATTTGATTATAGTTCATTATATTTCTATACATTTCTCCCTTTGCTTGTGGGATTGGGTGTCAATTTGCATGTGGGTAACACAGGTCTTGCAGTTGCTTGGCAGTTTTCCAGCCCCTTCCACCCTGTCCCTTTGATTTGTGAGCCAAGGGATTCCAAGATGTTCCAAGGGCATTGGCTTCCGTGTCTTGAGGAGTCGTGACCGACGAGACGGTGGCCGAGACGGCGGCAGAGACGGCGGCCGGGACGACCGACGAGACGAGCGACGAGACGACCGGCGGGACGACCGGCGGGACGATCGAAGGGACGACCGGCGGGACCGACCGAACCGCAGCCGTTCCCGGCGCCGGGATGATCGACGCGATGACCGTGGCTCAGATGGGGAGCATAGAAAACCACAGAAAACCTTGGGCACGTTTGGGAGGGATCTTTCGTGCCATGCACTGGGGATTGCACTCCTTAGATCTTGTCTGCTTGATGGTGCCGAAGGATGGTTATAGGATGTTATATGATGTTATAGGGTTTGTTCGTGCTGCGTGTTTAGTGGTAGGGGACAATATGGGGCAATTGAACTGTTGCCTGCTTGCTTTATGTTAGTTTAACCTACACACCCTTGCGCTCACAAAACAAATCTCCAAATGTTCAAAGAGTGGCCGGTCTATTTGCTTGGCGCGGTCAAGAAGCTGACAACATATTTTAGCACTTGAATGATCATGGATGCTCAAAACTTTTGTATATATATATATATATGTATAGTCTATGTATTATCAATGGAGGCTATTCGCACGCTTGGATGCTGTATGTGCAATGATGGCAGTGGTTGGGGGTCGCACTTGGGTTGTCCTGGTTTTTGTTCAGGTGATCGTGGTGAGCGGCGTGAGGAACGACGTGAAGAGCCGCGAGCAGTTCGTGAACCTCCAAAAGAGGAATTCCACGGTGCTGTGTTTGCTGTGTCACGTCATTTCGGACGGATTCAAGCTATGACAAGAGCAACGCATCGTCAAGCGTGAATCTTGAATGTGAACATGAAGCTGCCTTTCCATCTGCCATGATCCACGTGATTTTAGAGAGGCTGTTGTGTTCTATTATTTCTACTGGTATTTGATTTGCGCGTGTGTGACTGTGCATGGGAAGCCGCAGGAGCCCTTTGTGCCAAAGCTGAAGGGGATGCAACCACCAGCCTCGGGTGAAGGATGCAAGGACGACTTCAAGTGGGAGAAATTTGGCCGTTTTCTAACCGATTTCCCCACTGTTTTTGGGGCGTGGGGAGCAGCCCTGACATGATGTTGGATCGGGATTTCTTGGTGGACAACCATGTTTTCTGACGAATTCGCGAATCGTCAATTTTGTGTTTGGGGGATTTGGTGCCTCTTGGAACAGGCAGCGGTGCCATGACTTGCTCAATGGTTCCCTATAAATGTTCCCTTAATTATTGCATGTAACTTATGTCAGTGCCCTCATCTTCTCTCTTTTTGGCATGCGTCACTGCATAAATTGACCAATGCAACAGTATATATACGGTTTTCAGATGTCTTCAGAACAAATCCAAGTTGTCAGGTCACCAAGTGTTCCCGAAGAAATACAAGCAGAGTTGGAGTCATTCTTTTAAAGAGACGAACGGGCGATTTCTCGCGTCCAAACGGTGATTTTTAGCGTTCCTTTCTCGATCGTTTTGCCCACAGGCCTCAAATGAAAACACAGGACTCATTGAGAGAATGTCATACTACACAAAGTCAGTTGTTGCAGCTCCATTCCTCCATAGTTAGTACCACAGGTGTCAAATTGTTTAGTATTGACCTTCAACTGCCAATTGCAATGCTACAGCTGCTACAATTATCAATGGCCGATTCGTACAAGGTGGGGCCCCCAAACCATAGCGTTGGTAAACATAACTCCAATATCTCCAATTTCACCACGGTTTATGGTAGAGATATCTGTTGTCAATGGGCTTTAGACAGCAAACATTTCGCGCCAGGAGGCTGAAGGTCTTACAGGTGCTGCCGCTGCTGCGGCCTTGCAAGCCGGTGCGGAGCGAGTGCGCAAGGAGCTCCAGGCCAACCTTCAGGTGCGGTGCGATGCGGTGCGGTGCGATGCGGTGCGATGCGGTGCGTCAGTGCCAGTTATGTCTGAACATGGGGGGTACAACTTATGTGGCCATCAAATTTGGAGGTAGCCTATTGTGAGACAAAGCCAGCTCCAAACATGGCTGATTCGAAAATCCGCTATAATTGGAGGTTGTAGCTGAGAAAATCATCGAACTAAACAACTCAATCTGTGAGAAATCTTGAGGCTGTTCTGGATGTTCAGGTCAGCCAGCTTTTCCATGTTTTGGTTTCAACATGGGGGGTCAAATGATGATGAGATTTATGATGAGTAACAGGAATTTGGGGTTCCAAATCTTGGGACCATCAGCTGGGTGGTGACCTTGATGATCCTGGCTCTCGTGAGGCACTCATCCGAAAGCAGATTGCAGAAGGTAGACCGATGGAGGAGTGGACTGCTTGATGACCTCACGTGCCTTAGTCATTCCAATATTTGCCTTTCTTCGGAGTTTCTGCACATTTCACGATGGCCTGCTGTGAGGATCCAAATACGCATGTCGCATGTCTATCATATTCTATCACTTGATATGGCATGATACTTTTTCAAATTGTCTTTCAAATTGGTGGTCGCGCAAAAGTGAAGTGGTATGTATGAAGTGGTGAGCTAAGGCACACACCTTTAGTTGCAAAATGGCACAGGCAAATAGTAATGATTCTGTGCATGAGCGGAGCTGCCGCTGTTTTGAGTGGGGCTCTCCTTCCACCTGACCTCCTGGTCACCTGGTCCTGGTCCACTGAACCCTGGGCTGCACCCAAGGGTCAAGTGCCTGACCTTGTGCATCTTTAGGCTTACAGCGCTTGTGAAAGGAGTTCAAAGGAGCGTTGTTTTGCAGGTGTCTTGAATCTTGGACTATCCAGGGCAAAAATGAGACACTTGGAATAGCAAAGCCCATCCTACTGTCCTGAAAGAACTCGTCTTTTCAGATGAGACACATCATTTCACTGCGCTTTACCAATCCTTCCCATGCTGAAAGTGGAAGCAAAAGTCGCAGCCAACAGTTGCTGCGACGTGCGAAAGTGTCAAAGCTGTGACAGACCAGACATGTTCAGACATTCTACACTGGATTCTACACACTACCGGCCCACAGCCCATGAGCACCACAGTAGCTCCATTCCACTGACCAATTCAATGTGAGGGTGTGTGTTTCAACAGTTGAGCAACCCCAAATGGGTCAGTTTGGGGTTCCCCCCTACACGAAGGAAATCGAAGGAACATGTCACCCTGCCACACCTTTGCTGGATTTGGATAGTAACATGGCGGTTAAATGAAGCTAGATGGTGGCACACACACACACAGTATACGATCCACAATAGATCATTTCATATCATTCCTACTTATATAATCATTCATATATATATATATATGCAATGTTAGAATATTTGAGCCCAAAGAATCCCAAAGATGCGTTGAACTTACAGTGCTGCCATTGTGCAAGATTATGGCAGCTTCCGAGTGAAAGTGAAGTTGCAGCACAGCTGCGATCGCCTGGTCTTGGTCAAATGTCAGGCCCAGGACCACGCGATTCCCAAAGTGATCCGCAAAATGTGTCACAGTTGTGTCCAAATTCCGCTGCCCCTGCGGAGCGACGCAAGGTCCGGGCTGAACATGGGCATGGATTGCCCTCGTTCTCGTTGTTAGTCAGATATGGAAATAATGAAATATCGGTAATATAGAGCCGCCATGTGGCTCTTTCATGCGCGAAAGAACCAGTTGTAGGCAGTTGTAGGCCATCACCAGGTCCAACGCTGGATTTTGGCTTCAAAACACACCAATTGTCGGCCGCAACATTGCTCAGCTTAGTAGTTTTTTTTTCAACACTCTTCTCCCCATGGTAGCAGAGCCAACGGAGAATGGGATGCCCAATTGTTGCAGATCGCCGTGTTGGCCCGACTAGGTCAATCAGGGGAAGCCTCTGAGCAATTCGGATGGTGAAGAAAAATGGTGCAGCGGTGCAGCTTGAGGAATCCTGGGCTTTGTGCAGTGTGGCTCTTGTAGCCCCCAACGAGCTGTGTTCTGTATAAACTGGTTCCGCAGCATTGGCCTATAGCTGAGTGGGGGCTTGATAAAGACATTGCAGTAACACCATGATACTGGTGCAAAATAACGTAATCAGAGGCATCCTTTACATTGGGGAGGGTCCAGCGCAGGTGTGGCGAAGTCCACAGGATTTTCTCAGCCAATGCTATGCAATGCTAGCAACACTCAGAGCTTTAGATACAGGTGAGGCAAAGAGTCCAGGTGGCAAAGACCGTTGCTTCATGCTTTTTCGCTTGCTATGCATTCTGCCAGCATGCGTGAGAGGACTGCGGATGCATTTTGGACAGATTAACTGGTGGCCCACATGCAATGTAGATAGAATTACGGAGCCTGAAATAGGGGATGTGTCTTCTGCCTGGCATAGTATTTGAATGATTTTGAATGTGTGTATATATATATATATACATGGCTATATCATGTCCGTATTACATTTATATCATTTTATGTTTTTTTATTTGGACAACCTGCATCCTATGATGACTATGATGCCTTGGCCAGGCCTAGACGTGACGCCAGTGGTGGATGCCTTCTCTGCGCACCCGGGGACTGTCTTTGAGGAGATTGACCTCACTAATCCGTTGCCCAACTGGAGATAGAAATGGGTCAAGATTTGGCAAAACAGTAGAAGCAGATGATTTACCCTCTGGTAAACTAACATAGCTATTGAAAATGGCCATTTATAGTGGATTTACCCATTAAAAATAGTGATTTTCCATAGCTATGTTAGTTTACCAGAGGGTAAAGGTTTGATACTAAGAATGACCAAGATTCTGTGGGTCATTGGTATGACCCAGAATGAGGCTGCGCTCTGCGCATCAATCAGCTTGCGTCAAGATGATGAGAATTGATATCATAAATGAGGTCACCTGAGGATGTAGAGGTGGAGCTCAAGTTCTCCAGGCACATGACAATGGAGATTTCGAGCACTCAACTGACAGGGGTCGGAAATCTCATTGAACCTGTCTCGTAGGTCCTGGAGGCTCGGCCCCTTGCCCCTTGACATAATTCCAGGCTCTGATGTCTAGGTTATCCAAATTGTCATGTGATTCATGTGCAGGTCAAGACCTTCAGAGAGAAGGTTGGCAAGTACGCCAGCCCTGCAAGGGCACCAGGACTGCGATGCCTTGGAGTTTGGCATGGAATCCAAGGGTTTGTAGCTGGGGAAATGATTCTTGTTTTCGCATGCAGAGGATTCGCAAAACTGCGCCAGCCCGAGCAGGCCGGCGTGAGATGGCAGCTGCGAAATGTTGCGAAAGTTGTGCAACCAGCAACCAGTCATCTAAGAAGCAAGATCAAGCAGACATTTTCGATATGTTTGATGTTTTCTTGTACCAGGTTGCTCGCCCGTTTCCACCAAGTGGAAGGTACAGGCCTCAAGTTGAAAGTGTGCTTTGATGTCCGGCTTGCTGTGCTTCCTTGATCTTCCTTGCAGCCCATTGTCACCCCCAGGCGAGAAACATGGCGTTTTTCGCCGGAGGCTACAAGAGGAGATGGTTTCCGAAGACAGCAGCTGCACAGCAGCTGCACAGCAGCTGCACAGCAGCTGCACATAGCTGCACGCGACCGGGGGAACTCAGGGGAAACAGGGAAACTCAGTCGTAGTGGCAGGACCTCCGAAGTTCCTTCGCATCGTGGTGGCACCTGCCCAACCTCGATATGGAGATTCTGGATTTTTGTGGCACGCCAGCCGAAGAGCTGAGCCTCTTGGCGGCTTAGAGTCTTAGAGTGACTTAGTGCGTTAGCAGCGCAGGAATTTTGGATATAATATTATAAGATATAGCATTGATGATATCGCGTATGTATATGCATAGAGAGAAAAATGAAACACTAATAATTATACATTTAAAACTGTACATAGAGATGCATAGAGCAAATTGGAGTAGACATGTTGACCAGGTAGGAAGATGATGGATGAGTCGGAACTTATGAGTCTATGATGAGTGATGATCCGCCAAGGTCGAGTGCGCGAGAAGTTTGGCTCGATGCCGCTGGTCATAGCGTAAAACTGAGGCTACAGAAGGGGCGTAGGAACTTGGCCCTTGGGCATAAGACTAAGACATCGTGGGTTTTGCTTGGGCCACTGCGAATGTCATGCTGGGAGCCAGGGGCTGTTGTTGCAAGACCACTAGTTTTTGACAGTTGTTTGGACCAGTGAGGCTGGAATTTGTGGAGATGGATCAGCAAGTTTACCCCAGCAGCAAACCCAACGATGCTGAGTGGCACAAACTCTGGGGTTTGGGGCACGTTGGATCCGTAGATGCTTGGTCGCGGCTAAGCCACTTGGGCTTGGACAGCCAAGAGACGGTGGTTGCAGTCATTGACACAGGGATTCAAATGAATCACCCAGATCTAAAGGATTCACTATGGAGGAATCCAGGTGAGATCCCAGACAACGGCATAGATGATGATGGGAATGGCTTCATTGATGATGTCCATGGCTATGACTTTGCAGGCAGGGAAAGCAACATGTGAAATCTCATGGTGAATTCATTGGCCCCTTGCTGCCCAGCCATCGGCAAATGGAGGGCAAATAGTCAGCTCTCCATTCAAGTCAAGTAAATGCACCCATTCTTTTCTGAATTGCATGCCGGTGCTGTGGCGACAGCCAACCTAACACACCCAAGGCTTTCCATATAGAAATGATGTGATTCCAACTCAGACACTGACCTGGAGGCGAAAAAGGAAACCCAGAGGATGACAATGGCCATGGCACCCATTGTGCAACTTGGTTTGCCTTGAACGTGCACAGGATGCACATTGTGATGGGCTTTGGATATGCTTTCATCCTCCCGAATTTCGCAGCTGAAGTCGCACGCACTAAGGCTGGAATTATAGCAGCTACTGCCAACAATAGCATCTCGGATCATACTTTATGGCTCTTTATGGCCCCTTCCACATGTGATTCCTGTATCTTGTGGGGCTTGTGGGGCTAAGGTGTTGGAATCACCGGGGTCGCCAGCAGATTTGGCAAGGCACTGCACCAAGCTCTTGCCATAGTGCAACCATGCCATGCCATGGCCCATCATGGCCCATGGCCCATGCAGGTTCGCCTGATGCCATTGCGCTTCATTGATGCGAGTGGGTCTGGAGGAAGCGTTTCGGGCGCGATCCGGGCGTGACTTGATGGCACAAAGCAACAATGCCCCAGTTGAGATGCGGGACAAGCTCTGCCTTTGCTAAATCACATTCCTGAGGCTGGAGTATGCATTGTCTTTCGGGGTACCTGTATCATCAAGCAGTTGCTGGGCATGCACTTTTGATTTCTCAGGGAAGACCTTTGACACTCATCCGAACTTTATCCATCGAGTTTTCTTGAGCGCGACCGTTCACTCCCAACTGTCTTCCATTTAATCCCACTTGCAGTCAATCCACGCTGAGCCAAAGGGTCACACAGACCATCCATTGTAGGTATAAAACTGTCTGAACGCAATTTCAGAACACTACTGGTGGCCCCAGCTGGCAAGATCCACAGGCCGGCTGCTAAGGTTGGGGAGGTCCAGATACCTCCGATGCACTGAAGGTGGCCATCCAGCGAGCTACAGAGGCGAAGAGTCACTTTTTTTATAGGCAGATGCCGAAGGCAGTTCCAAAAGAGGTTCAAGCGCGGTGAATCACTTGCTCCAAACTATACTAAACTCCTGACCAAGAAATACAGTAAAAAGATGCAAATAGAACTTTGCTTGTCTTGGTGCTTTTCAGTCCTCAGAAAAATTGTACCATTCTCCTTTCTCAAACTTTACTGTTTGTCCATGTCTACTCTTTGGTTATGTTTTCAGGGCTAGGCTGCACCATTCTTGTTTGTGCTTCTTACCCTTGTGGCAACAGCTGACTTGGTAGGTAGGGCATTTGTTTGTTGCGGCTGCTGGCAATAGTGGGACTGGTCAGGGTTGAGCCAGGGGTAAAAGCATGGAAGGTTGTACTGGGAACATCTGGCAACTTTTGCTTGGTTCATTCCATCATTCCATTGTTTGGGGGGGTCTTGGAGCGTGTGACAATCTAAGAGTTGAGTCGGCTTGATTCATGGTCTCCAGGAGAAGCATTTCAGATGGCTGCTCAGCATAATTAATTAGGATAAATCTGACGATGCATGAGTGCCTCGCCCCTCCAAGGAACCTATTATCCATGTGTTTACAGGCAAGCCGGAGTCACCATCTTAGTTTCTTCTGGTGAATTCTGTGAAACTATGCCAATTCAAGACGTGTGATGAGGTCCTGTGCGTTGCGGCAACCGATCGCTCAGACAATCTTGCCTCATTCTCCAACTATGCCACCGAATATGTGCCTGCCAAGCATTCTGATGGTAAGAGTTTGTGATGCTTTCAAAACATTGGTTCTGGAGTTCTGTTCTAGATGTTTCCAGAGAAAATACAACTTCAAGAGTTGGCGGCCATTTTCCGCAGCATCAATACACAACCCCCAAACTCTGATTGGTGGATGGGGCAGGTGGAAATTGCTGCCCCGGGAATTGATATCTATAGCACGTGGACAGGGTAGGGAGCTCAGCATGACAAGATTTGCAAAGCCAGGATCCTCCACTACTTCGCCGCGAAACCCCACGCCAAGGTCCAGGTACGAGTGGCAGTTCGGAACGTCTATGTCTACTCCATATGTTTCTGGGGCAGCGGCACTGGTGGTCAGTGAGTTTGGCTACAGCGGCTCACACATCAGGTGCGCCGAAACAGATCACTACTTGGATTCCGGCAGCAAGCACCGGTTTGAGCAGATCATTGGAACTGCTAACAGTGAGTTTCAAGTTTCAACAGTGCACTAGACACATACCAAAACCTTTACAGTTTTTACTGGCTCAAGGTGCATTTCTGCCAGTTTTCAGCAATCCCGTGGACTTCGTTCAGCCTTGGTTCAGCAATGGCTACTTCAGCTCCTCTGCTTCGGGAAGGCAGACCATTTGGAATGGCTTTTACCCCAGCAGAGCTGAAGGCATCTTTCTACGGTGCCGATGGACAAAGAAATTATTGCCAAGATGGCTCAGCCAGATGAGGGTGACGTTCATGCATCAACGGAGTGTGGAGAAGAACGACGAAAACAGGAGCTTGAAGACTGGACGGTACTGGACGTCTTTTTCCGATTCCCGATGCGACAGAATCTCATCTGGTTGTTCACAAAGATTACGCCCGAGCAGATGGGCACATGGTGTTTGGCTAGTGGTTTTAAATATTTTGATTTTCCTTTTTTATTTTTCTCCAGGGAATGTCCCAACTGACTATTGCCGACAGTAATATGTTTCAAGGGGGTTGAAGCTACCAACCGGGTGCGAATATACGTGTGGAATGTATGGGATTTTCCTTGGGGGCTTGGATGTTCATCACCAACTTCATGCATTTTTTGGCATGGAACACACTCTTGGCCAGCGATCCTGGTCGCAAGCGGCCTCTTTTTACACAACCTCATGGCACTGGGAGCATCGCAAGAATGAGATGTTATTTTAAACGTCCATCATGCTTTCCCTAACGCCTTGAGCACTTTGAATACTTTGAGTCAACGTGGACGTTTCCATGGATGGAAGATGGAAGATGATGCAGGTGTGGAGGGCTTGTGCCGTGGCTTGTGGAAGCCAAACGGGGATGAGACTGAGATGCAAAAGCAGCATAAGAAGCGATCCCTTTTTGACGCGACAGAGCCAGTGAAAGCAGTGATGGCAGGGGTGTGAAGCTTCTTTTTAAAATCGTGGAAGCTCGTTGGGTCGTGGTATGACTGAAAAGTATCAACATGTTGCAACTGGCATGTTCATGTTCAGCCTTCAATACCTCCAATGATCAGCGTTCCGTGACATTGAAGTGGCCATTGATTTCAGTTTTAATTTGGTTGGGGAAGCATTACGTGCACCTTGGGTTTCCATCCTGTCGCCAACAGATATAGATTCTGGGGCCTACAGCCGTGGCTTCCCACCAACTTGCCGGGCCCGCTGAACCATGGCCGACCATTTGAGCAAGAAAAAAGAAGCGTAATCCCAAAACTCAGCCAGGAAATGCTCATGCTCAAGAGACTAGTGAACATAATTTTAGAATATTTTAGATACTTTTAGCATCATATTTTAGCGAAAGAAATCGCTTGTGACAGGCAATTGCTGCTTGAGTCCGCTGTCTCCCACGAGAAGCTGAAAGGCAAGGTGGATGGAGGCCCCCGCTCGGGAGATCTCGTGAGACTCGAGGTGCAAAACTTCATAGCATAATGCGGATTTGAAACATACGAAGGTTACAAAGTCGTGTGAAGTGAGTGTCCCGTGCGCAAGTGCTGCAAGTGCTTGAGAAGTCTTTGGACACTGCAACGCTCTACGTTGAGGCCGCTTGGATGTTATGAATTTGATCCGCATGGCTGAGTCTGCTTACAACTTGGTTCGTGGCCGATGGGGACCGGACGGCGACCTTGCGCGTTACTGAGCCAAATGAATAAATAGTAAGCGCTGGCACCAAAGTGTTGGCCAGGTGCGGCCAGTCTTTTCATGGCTTGGCAACATTGCGTTCTTTTCCTTGGAGGTCCCAGCATTCTGGTTGATGCCTGTAGCCCATTTGAGGTGACTGTCCCCGCGAAGAATTCCACCAGTGTGAGACTCCAACTGGGGTCCGTTGGCCTTTCAGCCGGCATCCACCAAGCGCAAGTGAATGTCAGCTGGCTGGGAGGTGAGACAAGGATCCCAGTGCCTTGCCTCAGACTTTTTCTCTTGGGGCAGCAGCTAGGGGATTTTCTGGTGGTCAAACAATGTTAAAGATATCATGGGACTCATGGGAACTCATGGGGTTATGATGAGATTCGGTGGGGCCAAGGTGACTTACACTGTCCAAGGGCAGCCAAGACTGCAACTGTTGCAGAGCTCTGTGGATTGGCCGCAGGCACGGCATGGGTAAACTGTTGAGACATGGTTGAATTTTTGAAGAAAGTGCGGAAGGCCCTGGGTCTGCTGGACTAGTCCTCCCCAACGAAGTTTTAGGATGATCAAGACGAATTAAAACTGAAACTAAGAACGAGATTGTTGTTGGCCGTGCGATTTTGTTCAGCATGGAATTGTCGGAGTTCTCGCATAGGACGCAGGTCAATTGTACACGTTGGCCTTGGGCGCAGGTTCCAGTCAATGCTTCCTCGGATCGGTTGCTAACTTTCGCAAACATTGGCATCCCGGTCTTCACCTAAATGGTGTGAAACAGCATGGTGTTTGCGGTGTGGAAGGCAATGCTTATTACTACGTGTCCCCAGTCCCCAGTCCTCTTTTCCATTTGAGGCAATGGAAGCGCACGAGTTCGCTTACAACGCCTTCCATATCCGTTTGCTGGAGAAGAGCGCGAAGTTGTGATTCCTGCAGCGGGCTCCGCTAGTGTCCAGATACATTGTGCACCAAAGACCACAGGTGCGCCCAGTAGTGAATGCGATTTTCAATTCAGACCTGGACAACCTGTACACTGTTCCAAATTTGGGTGCATCGGTCTATGATATATCGTAATTATATGTAATTATATACATCACATGTATAAATAAGTAAATTAATAAATAAAAACACACATATATATATATATACATCATTATACATCATTATACATCAATTGATATGGCCAGGAAATAATGAGGAACATGAGGTTTTAAACTGTTCAACCATGTTTGATTTTGGCACCCTATTTTGGAAGGAACACAGTTGAAAAACTTGGATTGCATCCTGGATCAGTTTCATTCTGTCTCTGGCCCTCCGCAAAGGTGAATGGTTTGGCCATGGGCTGTTCAACACGAGTTTCAGATGCAGCAAGAGCTCATGTTCAATCCATGAAGTGGAACCAATCAAGATATGTATACGTGAATTCATTTGCACCCACACGCATCCATATGAAAATTTAATACAATATAATACAATATATTTACTTCTATATGCACATCAATGTAAACACATGTGTATCCGGATATCTATCCTATCCTTACTGTATGATATTGTCAAATCCGAGTTGGATTTGCTGTTTGTTGCACCTCTGAGTGCAGGGGTAAAACAAAGGAATAGCGGCCTTGATGCTTGGGCGTCTACTCAGTTGCAGGCGGCGGACTTGGGAACTGCTTCTCGTTTGAGATATATATATATATTTCAGGCAGTCAATTGGTTCAAGGGAACCTCTAGACCAAACCGTGGTTTTAGCACATGCAAAGGCTTCCTACGGTTGCCGATTTCCCCCGAAACCTGGGAACCACTGAGCCTCACAACTCAGTTGAGGGAATGGAGGCCGGAGATCAATTCCGAGGTTTTCAATGCCAGCCTCACGTGCGTCAGCAAGAAAGATCCATATCTGGAACTGGAGCGAATCTCAGGTGCAGCAGAGGTGGGCCAAGCGTATGAAGTGCTGCAAAATGATGTTCGCCCAACTGATGAGAACAGACCCTGGAAACTCACAACATCAGTTTCTTACTAGGTTTGCGTGCTATCAAGCCGAAACAAGGAACAAGGTATATATTATTTCATAGTGGCATTTTTATCACTTTTTTAGCCGCAAAGAGTACCGCACAGAGCTTGCCATTATGGAGGTCCTGCGGCATCCAAAGGTTGAACTTCGGTTCTTTGAGCACGCAGTGCATGCTGAGTGGGAGCGCCTGCTTTTTTGAAGTTGGAAGATGTCCCGGAAGACACAGAAAAACCACATTTTGCTCTGTCGCGTTCAGAGAAGAGGCCGGATGGTGCAGATGATTTACTGGCCATGCAGGAGCCCTTCCTCAAAGGGGAAGAGGTGGAGGGAGACTTGGTCCTTCCAGCCGCTGACAACAGTAGCTTGCCTGAATGCGATTGAGTGCCGAAGCCTTTCTTGTGGAATAGTCTTGAAGAAGGCCTGTCCTTCATCTTCATCTTCATCTTCATCTTCATCTTCATCTTCATCTTCACCTCCATCTTCATTTTCATTTTCATCATCATCATCATCATCATCATCATCAGCATCAGCATCAGCATCAGCATCAGCATCAGCATCAGCATCACCATCATCATCATCATCATCATCATCTTTTCTCTTCGTCTTCTTCGTCTTCGTCGTCTTCTTCTTCGTCTTCTTCGTCTTCTTCTTCTTCTTCCTCTTCTTCTTCTTCTTAGTCTTCTTCTTCTTCTTCTTCTTCGTCATCATCATCTTCTTCGTCATCATCATCTTCTTCGCCATCATCATCGCCATCATCATCGCCATCATCATCGCCATCATCATCGCCATCATCATCAACATCATCATCAACAACCATCCTCATGATAATGAGCAAGGGGGCAACTCTCAGATGACCATTGCAACACTCCAGGGTCAGCGTTTGAATGTCAGAGCTTGAACGATAGAAGGTTTGGGATGCAGCCCTTACAACACACCTGCCTCTGGGCCGCAGAATTGTGCCCCTGAGAGGATAGAGGATCATAGCTCGAAACAAGTTGGGAAATGCAGTCAGTGAGGCGTGCAAACAGTGAGCGAAGTCCAGCCTAAAAGCAATTTTTGCCTTCACGATTGGCTGGCTAGTTGTCTATCGTTTGTGTTGCAACGGGTGGTCTCTAAGCTGAGGTGGCAAGCTCGTTGGTTCTTGTCGCACGTGGGGAGTGTTTCTTTTCAGAAAAAGCTCGCATGGCCCAAGAAGCGAACGCCTCAGGGTTCCCTGGCTGCGCTTGGCTGCCTGACGCAATTGTCCTGCCATGGTGTGCATTTCCTTGTGTTGCGATACCACAAAGAGCCAAGAAGGAATGACATGTAAGATGTTGTAAGGGTCTAGGGGAGCTTGATCAGAGCTCACGAGTTCTGTTTCGTGCCAGGGTTCTCTTGTATGACAACCAGGCCGGGAGCCTTACCAGTACTCGGTGGCATGTCCTCACAGCACTCTGGTTCAGACGAACGAGTTCTGCACACACCTGCCTGAGGCCGAGACCACTTTGCCAATTGTGGCGATGCCCAGGGATGGCAGCATTCCCCACATTCCGATGTTCATGGTGACCAAGGCTGCTCCAAATTCTTTTGATCATGCAGGTTGTACACACCTTCATAGTGTAGCGGATGCAGCTACTAGATGCTACATGGGGGGAACCACCAAAGGGATGACTTAGGGATGACTTCTTGGAAACAACGTTGACAATGGGGAAAGCCCAAAAGGGACAGTGAGGGATGACTTTCACTTCTACCTGTACTAGGTTGTTTTGTCAGAAGGCTTACAAACGTACACCACTTAATGCTTCCCACTCGCCTGCCGCAAATTACCGCTAGGTGCAGGGTGAAGCACTTCTCCAGCGCCTTGAAAGAGAGTCTATCCGCATCAAGATGCAGTGGCAGGCTGTGACCTGTCTTTCATGAGATCAGTCATTCTCTAATGCAGAACTAGCAGGGGATCGTGTCGCAGAGTTGTCCCGCGAAGCATTTCACGTGGTCTGTTGTAGAAGGCTGAATCTTGGAATTCTCAGAATTCCAAGAGTCACTACCGGGGAATAGGTCAAACTTGATCACAAGGGCGCTGGGACGCCGGAGTTGCAATAGTTGCACGATGTGATTCGTAGATGATTTGGATTCAAATGGGTATACTATGATGTGCATTCGGATGTATATGGTTCGGCTCCATGCTTGAGGGTCAGCATTGAAAAAAAACATATATAATCACACACACATATATATATACACATACTGTATATATTATATGTATACATGTGTGTGATGCATGTTTGTGTCTAGATATAGTAACATTTTTCTTAAAACACACATGCATATATATATATATATACATACACACGTACTGAATATATAGATATTCATCTAGTACGCTTTTTGAGCATGGAATTCCCGTGCCTCAGCGGGTTGTCCAAGGGAGTGGCACCCCCAAGCCATGGCTATAAAATAACGATGAACATATGATGATATTTCATAGGAGAATTATGATCAAACACTGGATTTCTGGGTATCCTACTTTCTGATAAACCTATTTACTCGAGCTGGATTTTAATACGGACACGAAGTAAGAAATCTACAGCTGTCTACCGCAACCCTTGGAGCATCCCTGATATTACTGCAAGGTCCGGGCATACACACTTCCCGGCAGATCAACCAGGGTGTCTTGGACTTGAAATCAGTCAACAGTTTCTTGAATCCAAAGAAAAGAATAAGGAGAATAAGGCCCATTAAGGCCCTCAAAGTCGGGAGACTCTGCTGAGGTTGGGTTGAATGTGTCAAATCACGGGGATGCCAACCTGCACTGGACAGCAAGACCAAGCCTTTCCTTTGGCTCCCATAGCCGCTTGGATCGACAATCTCGACACGTAACACTGCTAATTAATTGCATCTGCACTAGTGCCCTTGAGCACTCATTGATCACTCTAATACTTAAAGATCTTAAAACACCACCTCGATGAATCAGAACTCCTGAGATCTCCTGAGATCTCCTGAGATCTCCTGAGGTTTCTATGAATCTTACTTCCCGGAAAGTGACAATGGATTGTCAGAGCCGCAGTTCTCCTGGACATCGCCAGGCAAAGAGTTGAGTGACTTTGCAGCATCGAGGAATAAAAAAACGCTGTCCCTGGTTTGCACGTGGGAACCCTAGCGCAACTTTGCGTAGTGAACGTTGGCTTGAGACCAAGACGTCATAAGACGCCGAGAGAACTTGAATTCTTTATCAGTGGTGCTTCATTCCTAACCCCTATTGCAGGTTTCTTCTCATCGCACCACGCAAGTGACGAGAGCCTTCTGCAACCATTGCCATTCAACTTTTCCTTCTTTGGGCAGATGTTTGATGAGGCTGGACATTCTCTTGTTCAAGTCGCAGTGTTGTACCTGTTTGTTTCTCATCCAAATCCATTGAACATCTTTGAACTAAATACCCCACTAGTCCCCACTGATAACCCCTTCATCCTAATTTATTGAAATACATTGAATACACCTCAAGAACCGCTGGTTTGTATTGGAATGTATTGGATCTATTCAATCTGTTACTAGTATTACTAATCTACCAGTAGTACCGCACAAGGCGGTGGCGGAAGTTTCAAAAATTGGAAACCTATAGGAGAGCTTGGTTGTTGTGAATCACGGATAGCAGAGCGAATCCACTGATGGACTGAAAGGTGGTTGGAGTTGTGTTTTTTGGAATGGTTACAATGGTTGTAGTTTTGAGTGTTTTTGCATGATTTTGGGACTAAATCCAGGTTCAGTTTTGGGATCCCTATCCTTCAAACCACCTGGTTTCCATTTGCAGGTTCGATTAGTGAACATTCTTCATTTTTGTTGGCTAACTTGGTCGTCGACAGAATTCTGGACATGGTCATAAGGGTTACCATAAGTTATGCACTGTAGCCATGGCCAAAAGAATTATGGAAACATGTCCATAGAAAAGTTGTCAGCCTTTGAGGAAACAAATAATTATGGAAATGGCCGAGTGCCAAGAAGCACCCTCACATGGAAAAATATATATGGAAATTTTCCTGCAGCGCGTCACGCCCCATCCGAAAAGGTTCGGTCGAAGAATTATTAGAGGTTTTAGAGGTCTGCATTTTTATGAGTAAAATAGAGTTATGGAAAAATTCGGCCCGACGCGAGCAGATTTTTACCGACCCATGTCGAACATTTCTTTCATTTCCAAAATTTTGTCAGTGACCATATGCCAGAGTGCCTGCATGGATAAAGGAAGGGGCCCTAAATTAGCATAAAACTTCACTTGAGATACGACTCAGACCTAAGGAAAATTAGGTCTGGGTAATACTGCTTACACTCCACTGATTAGCTGCATTAGCTATTCATCCACTGAGTGGCTGGGGCAGACACTCAGCCACTCAGCCGCTCGGGTAAGAGTGACTGGACCAGCCACTCCCTGCCGCAGCCAGCCACTCAGCCACCCAGCTGCTCGGCCAGAGTGGCTGAGTGGCTGAGCGGCTGCGGCAGCCACTGTGGCAGAGTGGCAGAGTGGCTGCTTCGATTTCGCAAGCCGTGTTGCACATCCACTCATCATTTTGCGAATTGCATTGTCAGGGCTGCGTCAAGCGGCGACAAGGTGCAAATTCCGTGGCAGTCATGGCATTTTGTGAGATGTGATGAAATTGACGGAAGCCTCGCACGAAACATCGATTTTGAGGTTGCAATTTTTCAGGTTCATAAGAAAACTCGTAGGAAAACATCGATTTTGAAGCTACAAAGTGTGAAAATTGGAGGAAGTCTCGCGCGCAATGCTCGTTTTGATGCTCCCACGTCTCTCGTCTCGAGCCTCTGGTTTTCCTGTGGCCTCGCCTTGTCTATGGGGGAAGCTGCAAAACCTCTCCTTTTCGAAGGTTCCAAGCAGGTTGTCATGTCGTTTTGCGTGGCAGGCGCCATACGTTTGCCTCGCTTTCACAAGATGAGTTGCAGTTTTCGTGGCAGGCGCAGCGTTTTGGAGATCTCTGTCGTCATTTTGCGTGGCAAGCGCAGCATTTCAGACGTGTCGCATTGCGTGCTCTACACTCCACACTCTACATACACTCCACACTTCACACTCCACACTCCGCCCTTTACACTTCACACTCCACACTTTACATTCCTCACTTGACACTTTACACTCTACACTCCACACTTTACACATTACACTCCCCACTCCACACTCCACACTTTACACTCCACACTCCAGCCACACTCTACACTTTACACTCCACACTCGACACTTTACACTCCACACTTCACACTTTACACTCCACACTTAACATTTGACACTTTACACTCGATATTTGCACTTTGTGGTTCACACTTTACACTTTACACTCCACCTCTACGCTTTACACTCCACACTTTACACTCCAAACTTTACACTTCACACTCTACACTCTACACTTTACACTCCACACTCTACACTCCACACTCCACACTTCACACTCTACACTCTACACGTCACACTCTACACTCCACATTTTACACTCACAACTTTACACTTCACACTTTATACTCAACACGTTACACTCCACACTTTACACTCCACACACAACACTCAACACTTTACACTTGACACTTCACACTTTACACTCCGCACTTTACACTTCACACTCCACACTTTACACTTTACACTCCTCACTCCACACTTTACACGCCACACCCCCCCCTCTACACTTTACACCCCATACTCAACACTTTACACTTCGCACTTCATACTTTACACTTTACACTCCTCACTTTACACTCCACACTACACTTTACACTCCAAACTTTGCACTCCACAATCCACACTTTACACTTCACACTCCGCACTTCACACTCCACAATTTCCACTTTACACTCCACACTCTACACTTTACACACTTTACACTGTACGTTTTACACTCCACACTCCACACTCTACACTCCACACTCCAACACTTCACATTCCACACTCTACACTTTACACTCTACACTTTACACTGCGCACTCCACACACGACACTCCTCACTCCTTACTCCACACTCCACGCTTCACGCTCCACACTTTACACTCCACACTTTACACTCCACACTCCACAGTTTACACTTTACAATCCACACTTTTCACTTTACACTTTACACTGCACACTCAGCACTTTACACTCCACACTTTACACTTGACACTTTACACTCCTCACTCCACACTTTACACTCCACACCCCACACTCTACACTTTGCACTCCACACTCAACACTTTACACTTCACACTCCGCACTTCACACTATACACTTTACACTTTACACTCCTCACTCCACACACGACACTCCACACTTTACACTTCACACTCCACACGTTACACTTTACACCCCACACTTAGCAGTTTGCACCCCGAACTTTTACACTCCACACTTTTACACTCCACACTCCACACTTTGCACTCTACACTCTACACTCTACATTTTACACGTCACACTCTACACTCCACACTTTACACTTTACACTCCACACTTTACACCCCATACTCCACACTCCACACTTTACACTTACCCTCCACACTCTACGCTCCACACTTTACACTTCACAGTGCGCACTTTACACTTTACAATCCACACTTTACACGTCACACTCTACACTCCACACGCCACACTCTACACTCCACACTTTAAACTTCACACTCCGCACTCCACACTTTTACAGTCCACACTCTGCACTCCACACTTTGCGCTCTACACTCTACACGTCACACTTTACACTCCACACTTTACACTCCACACTTTACGCTCCATACTGTACACTCCACACTTCACACTTTATACTACACACATTACACTCCAAACTTTACGCTCCATACTCTACACTCCACACTTCACACTTTACACTCTACACTCACGCTCTGCACTTTACACACTCTACAATTTACACTTTACACTCCACACTCCACACTCTACACTCCACACTTCACATTCCACACTTTACACGTCACACTCTACACTCCACACGTCACACTCTACACTCCACACTTTACACTTCACACTCCGCACTTGGCACTTTGCACTCCACACTTTTACACTCCACACTCTACACTCCACACTGTACACTCCAAACTTTACGCTCCATACTCTACACTCCACACTTCACACTTTACACTCTACACTTTACACTCCACACTTTGCTCTCCACACTTTACACTTCACACTGCACACTTTGCACTTTACCATTTGCCATCTACACTTTACACGTCACACTCTACACTCCACACTGTACACTCCACACTCTACCCTCCATACTCTACACTCTACACTTCACACTTTACACTCCACACTTTACACTCCACACTTTACACTCCAGACTCCACACTCTACATTCTACACTCTACACTGCGCACTCTGCACTTTACGCACTCTACACTTTACACTTTTCACTCCACACTCCACACTCCACACTCTACACTCTACACTCTACACTCCACACTTCACATTCCACACTTTAGACGTCACACTCTACACTCCACACGCCACACTCTGCACTCCACACTTTACACTTCACACTCCGCACTTGGCACTTTGCACCCCGCACTTTTGCACTCCACACTCTACACTCCACACCTTGCGCTCTACACTGTACACTTTACACGTCACACTCTACACTCCACACTGTACACTCCACACTCTACCCTCCATACTCTACACTCTACACTTCACACTTTACACTCCACACTTTACACTTCACACTTTTCACTTCACACTGCGCACTTCGCACTTTACAATCTACACTTTACACGTCACATTCTACACTCTACACTCCACACTTTACACTCCAAACTTTGGACTCCACAATCCACACTTTACACTTCACACTCCGCACTTCACACTCCACACTTTACACTTCACACTTTACACTCCACACTCTACACTTTACACTCCACACTCCAGACTCCACAATCCCCACTTCAGACTCTACACCCTACATTCCCCGCTCAACACTCCACTTCCTTCACGCCCCGCACTTTGCGCTCCACCCTCTTCCGGATCCCACAGTCTACAGCGCACTGGTATGGTAGCAGGGGAAAAATGCACAACACTGTTCAAATCACTTGTTTCACAAAGGTGTTTTACGTGACTGCATTCGGGTTCGTGGGCTGCATCTTGTTTTACACTTTTGACTTCGAAATGTGCTTTGCAACACGACGGCGTGCACCTTTTCGACAGCTCAACTTCCAAAAGTGTTCTGGATGTGAAGTGTTTTTAACTTTTTCACTTGCAGATGCCACAACGGCGTGCAACTTTTCATCGCTCTCATTTGGCCAGATGGCTCCGCACGCGCCGCTTTAGCAAACCTACGTTTCGACCTTCCGGAGCCACAAACCATTGGAAAAACATAGTGTTTCGCGACTTTCCTACCTTTTCGCGCACCTAGATCTTCTTTCGTCTGACTCCTTCTTTAAACTGATCTTCTATCCTCTTTTCTTCTTCTTTTCTGTTCTCTTCTCTTCTCTGACTCTTCCCACCTCTGCTTTTCATCGGTCCGTATTGTCGGAAGTTTGACTTCTAAACATCCTTCGATCAGGACATTTCAGGACCTATTCATCTGTGGGCCCTGTATTGGTGGTATGCGTCATGCGTCACCGCACCGCAGGTGTGGATCAGCTCCAAGGGCTTTTTGGCTTTCGACGGTGAGGTCAACGCTTCGAGAATAGCCTTGCCTTTCAGGGCAGAAACTGCCAAACCCAATGGGTGTGAGTCCCAGTGATATGATCTTATTTATTTGATTGTTCATGGCATTTTATGGAAAGATAATGCATAAGATTTATCAGATTATTGAATGATTATGACAGACTACTAGTATGGTAGACTGTCACAGGTGTCTGGAGCCACAGCACTGTAATAAACGCTGAAATATCTGAAATGATTGGCCAAGGATCGTGGCAGGCTTCGGATGGAATTTGCTGTGCAGAACATGCAAGCTACTTGCCAGGGAGACGAACTTGAAGTGCTGCAACTGGTGTGCCAGCTCTGGCAATTTGTTTCCGCTTTTGTGAGTCGCAAACTTAGGATCTCCTCATCTGTGACTGCAGATGAAGCTGATAGGGGCGATGCGTGCTTTGTGGTGCAGTATGCCAATCTATCCTTCGATTCAACCGCTCAGAATGGTGCTGGAGACCAGATTTCTTTTGAGATCCGGCTTTGCAAAGATGCTTGGCCTGCCTCAGCTGTGTTGTCATGTCTGTTTTTTTGAACATGGTGTGCCCATGACCCAGGATGGTCAAATCAGCTTTATGTACGCACAGTTTCCCGAGTTGCTGGCTCAGTTGACAGTGAACATAGTCTCCTCCCCTAATATTAAAACATATTAAACGCCCTCCCAGATACATTGGTTTCCGGATGTTTCCGGTGGATCTATGGGAATTTGATAACAATTGACTGCGTCATCATTGTCATGTGCCGTGACGCATGGAAGCAAGGCCTCACACTCTATATATGGATGCCTTTATCGGCTTGGAAACCATTGATGGCGCTGCTTCCGTGAATTTGCGCTCGCAGTTGCCTTTTTCTGTCCAGTGCCCGGGCAGCTTTTTGAATCTTCATGAAGGGCTAGTGATAAACCCGATTTGTAGGGGTATGGTTTTCTAAGACCAACATTTTTACATTAGGTTGATCCGTTTGATGGTTTACACAGTTTACAATAAAAAAGGCTTGCCACAAATTCAATGCATTTCAGTCAGCTGAGGAGGCCTTTTGCTGTGACCTTGGAGCCCTGGCTCCGTGCAGCAAGTGCTACCCAGGGGGTTCTGCAAAAGAACGAAACGGTGAAGCTGGTCTACGATGTGGCAGCCCAAGGGGCCCAAGCCGTTGTGGTATATTTGTGGTGTATTTGCTGAAAGATATCTGAAGGATTCTCAAAGATTGTGAGGGAGCTGTGCGCTCCACAGTGTCAAACTGAGACAGGGGAGCTGGTGTTTCTTTTTTCCTTCATGGCGTGATATAACCCCTAGGCTCAAAGTGGCCAGTTCAAGTTGCGCCGCGTTTTCAGTTGTGCCATGCCGAGAAAATTTTCAAATCTCGAGACTGCACTGCTTCAGCACCTGGACCACCTTCCAGTCCTTTGTCACAGTTTGGATGGAACACAGACGCAACGGCTGCTGATCCCGAAGTCCTTGACAATCGAGCAGCTTGAGTGACCATACGGTAAAGGGATGGTAATAATACGGCCAAACACCTCGTTGCCGCGCCTGTTGGCCCGCCTTCTTCGTTATGAGCTGAAAACGTGGTAAGAATTGGATTCTTTAGCGTTAGATATAGTTAACTTGATGTTCTAGAATAGAACGCACAGCATAGGGACCTGTGCGCGTTCGTTCCGCATCATCATCATCATCATCATCATCATCATCATCATCATCATAACAATCATCATAACAATCATCATAACAATCATCATCATCATCATCATCATCGTCATCATCATCATCATCGTCATCATCATCATCATCATCATAATATTCATCATTCATCATTCATCATTCATCATCATCATCATCATCATCGTCATCATCACCATCATCATCATCATCGTCATCATCATCATCATCATCATCGTCATCATCACCATCATCATCATCATCATCATCACCATCACCTTCACCTTCACCATCGCCATCACTACCTTTGTTGATCTTCCCACTTGAATGTAAATTTAACGGGGCTGGGACTTTTGCATTCTCTAATACCTTTAATGATTTTCCCAACTGAATGTAAAGTTTAACGGGGGTGGGGCTTTTATATTCCCCAACCCCAACAGTCAGATTTCTAACGAACCATGGGTGTGCGGCAACTTTCGGCCATAGTTGGTGTTGAAGCCTGGCTGTCCATATTGCCTTTCGGGTTGTTTTGGCCTCCGCTAACACCTGAGGAAAGGGTGGAGGAGCGCTTGGATGAATTTGTAGCGTCAGCACTTGCCTCAGTTAGCCAAAGTTGCCGTGAAAGATATGATACCATTGGACCATGCGACAAAACACACACACAGATATACCCACAGATACACACACACACACAGATATACACACAGATGCACACACACACAATATATATATATATATCACAGATATATATATATATTATATACATATATACTAGCTATACACACAAAGGTGGCATAAATCTTGTGAACTCTCTTGCCCATGCCGCTTTCAGAAGTTGAGGCGCTCCGGGTTTGGTACCAAACTGTCGGCCAACAACTGGAACATAACCCCTTTGTGGAGCTCTTTCAGGCACGGTTTCAGCACACTCACAAAAATTCTGCAGAGGTGGCTGAATTTCCTCTTGCTCGTTCCACCTAGATAATCGGAGTAATGTCAACCCTGGATTAGCAACCCCCACGCATCCCCACGCTGTTAAATTGGGGAGGTATCAATTGAGTATCATATTGTCACTATTTGGAGGGTACCACCATAATTAATAAACCATGATTTACTAATCCGACGTTGACATTGATTTCACTGAAATTGAAAGTGATGCCTCATGTGCCAATCCAACTTTGTGTCGATCTTTGGTGATTTTGGGTCTCAGGGGCGCCCTCTGGCAGAGTGCGCACCATTGATAGCTGTGGGGTTTATCATGGGAACATTGTAGCTGGGCTGCATTCTTCTGGTGCGTTTACCGTTTGACAGACTTTGGACAAAACCAACGTCTGTCGGAGCATCCACATCAACTGCCTGGCAGAAACCCCTGTGTGATCCAACCGTGCAAAACCAATCGAAACAACCTGAGGTATATATCTTTTCGACTAGCTTTTATGCCGGCAATGCATCTTCCCCTCGGTAGCACCAGCTCCGTCATATTCCACTCTTCCTTTGTTCTTGCCGTGCTCTCCTATGAGCGCCTTGGAGATTTAAAGATAACGCCAATCTTGCCCCTATACCCTGAAAGTCAGATACCCCTGAAAGTCAGACTGACGCAAATGTCAGGGATGCTATATCGGCTGTGAATTGTCAGGGAACCAGCGGTTTTGGTCATTGAACAATGTTGAATATCATTGAATAGAGCCATCCCATGCCATGTGGCGATGGGCCATGCCCAACTTTGTCAAAGGCGAGGGGTCACAGTGGATCCTGGCTTCATTCCAGAGAACTGGCGGAAAGCTGAAAACGGACGACCTCGTTTCGAGTTGGAAGGTCACCGGGTCTTCATGTACGAGCGTGGCTCGGCGAAATTGTGCACATCCTGCCGATGCTGCGGTGCTTTGCGGGTTGGACCCAAAAACAAGATGGCTGAGGCCCTTAGGACTAGTGCAAATGTTGAGAAGATATGTATGACATCACCACATGCTCAAAACCTTACCTGTGAAAAAGATAGTCTGAACCGCCGAGACAAATCTGGCTCCACATGGCCAATGCGCTCTCGAAGTTTCTTTATTTAGATGGGGAGCTTTTGTATTCGTTGACGTGGCTAGTTGGTATCGCATGTCGTGCGACTTCAGCAGAGAGGTAAGAAGAAAACCCGCGAGCTGCGTTTCTGCAACAAGGAAATGACACTTGGATCCGGACTTGTGAAAGAACATGTGGCTCATAGTGTGTCATAGTGACTCAACGCTTGGTTGACATGTTGTTTTCTCAAGCTCACACTGCAATCAGCTGCAGCTAAGGAAGTTCAAACCTGACAGAGTTGCTTCTTTGCACATGGCATCATCAGGGCAGAGCCTATGGTTGATTCGACGCGGGAGGGACGAGACCGTCGGTGCAGTGACCCTGTAAGTATCCATGAAGTGATCAATCCTTTGCCTGGATTTCTTCTAGGGTGTTGCAGCCAAGCTTAGTCCCCATCAAGATTCTGTCTCCCCGAACACTGAGGCTCACTATTGCCGTATTACTGGTCGAAATATCCTGAGAATGGATCATTATTGTCTTTATCTAGCAAATTGTTCCTCGTCCGCCAAAAGCTTTTAAAAAGAGACAGGGAATGAGGAATGCGTTTGCCTGCAGAAGTGCCTTGCGGTAACCTCGGGTTTGAGGTTTTTACCATAGCCCAGGTGTTGGCTACCACAATCACAAGTACTTTTTCCTGTTCCTCTTCTACACACTGATAGCTACAGGCCGGCCAGCTCAGTTAAGCATTTTGCAAAGATTCAGTCGGATTGACGGAGACAGGACAACATTGGGGCAGATTCAATGGTGAAGTCAACCTGACTCCTTTTGGTTAGTTTGAGCCGTGCAGGGCTGAGTTTTCGATCTGAGGCACTTTGGACATCAATGTTCTATCAGCGCTGTACTTTCACACCCACACTGCGGGGCATACGTTTATGATGGCCCAAGGCGTGGGATTTGATCTGAGCTGCTTTGTGTGCACGCGGCATGATGCATCGCTGTACCAGTTTGAGATGCAGAAGTCTGCCCTTCAGACAATGATCATAGAGCAGTGTAAGATTCCAGACAGATGCGAAAGGTGGTGCCCACTGTCGGACAGGTGCAATGTGTTCAACAGTTATTGCTGGTATTCTGGGTCCATTCTTTTCATTCCACTGCTGGCTCATGAGTCACAACATGACAACCATTGTGCCTCGTCTGCCTCAATTTTGAAAACTTGCGTTTTGCCGCAGGGTTTGCGACACCCAGAGTTTTAGAGGGAAAAGTAGTCACAATTGTGACATTCCTAGTGGACCCAGAGCGACGGCAGACTTGAGAGAGATTGGTGGATTCAACTACCATAGCTGCCATAGCTATGGATCATAGACCCAGAAAATTGAAGTGATGCCGAGAAATGAGTTTATTTGCAGTGCCTTTATTTGGCGTATTTGGCACCCCATTGTGAGCAATACTGTGGGAGCCTGGGGGTAGATTTGTCCCAAGGAGTACTGCGAGAAGATGCGGGATAAGGACGAATCCCGTCCCTCCGAGATGGGCGAGCTGCGTGCCTCGCAATATGACATTGGCCTCCTTCGCAACATCCAAAGTGTTGAGCTCAGCCGTGTTTTTGATGCAAATTTTTCCAAGCCTTTCACAATCCAAGCGCCAATCTATGCATGATATTAAACGCCTTATCGATTGGATCAATCTGATGGTGGAGGTGTCATGGGGGACAATTGGATGCTGTGGCTGCTGCCCATCTCTGGCCCTTCTGGCGATGGTCTGCAGTGGGGCATCGCAGAACAAAAGAAATCAGAAGCCGCCAGTGAAGCCACCAGTGCAGCCACCAGTGCAGTCACCAGTGCGGCTAGCAGTGCGGCTACCAGTGCAGCGAGCAGTGCAGCTGCCGCCTTTCCTGCAGACTTGCCAGCGAGGGTGCCTTGAGGGGAGGGACTGATTTATTCCGTTGGGTCTGAACAAATTCAACAAGAGAGAGAGAGGTGGGATGGTAGTTATGTAAGTGGTAGTCAAATGTAGTCAGCAGTTATCGGTATCGGTATATTTCACTAGGAGTTTTACAACATCGGTATACATGAAGCAGTAGGTCAGTAGGTTGTAGAGTAGTAGGACATTACTCGGCTAGCATATAGCTAGCATAGAGGTAGCAAGAAGAATAAGATACTACCTAAGTTAGTACTCTGGGTGATATGTAGCAGCTAGCAAATGAGTAAGCAGTATGCAAGTTGCCATGCCGCTGGTACATATCTAGCATATTAGGTAGTAAGTAAGTATACAAGAGAATACTTGGTACGCAGGTAGTCTAATACGTAGAAAAGAAGCGTAGAGGTAATAATATAAGCAGCACTAGGTGTTACTGTATATATATATATATGCGTGTGTGTGTGTAACATCTTAATAGATGTAAAACTTCTCTCTTTTTTCCTTCTGTCCTCTCCCTTTTTAAACCTAGTGCAGGGGGCAGTGACAGAGTCTGTGAGATCACTGCCAACGAAGACGCCCACATTCTCTGGTGATGCATCGGGAGACGTCCTGATGTGTACCTGCAGAAGTCTGTTTGAACTGTTGAACAAGCTGTCCTTTTCATTATTTTGCAATCATTGCGTGAGAATGGCGAGGGGCTAAGCCAAGTACCCCAACATTATGATTTTTCTTCACGGTGATCTAGGCTGGTTTGCACGTTTCAGGATTCAGTTCCTGCCGGATCATATAATGATCCATTCTAATCTAGTGTGATTCCTATGGTGACTCCGACATGGTGCCATAGGGCCAAGTGAGGCAACCCCAGTTGGGGTCAATGTCGACTGAATTGACTTCCGAATTTACACTTTTGAATTAATAATTCGTCTAAGTAAAGTGCAACAGTTGGCCTTACGGTTATGCACCTTTTTCACAATGTCCCGCTGTTCCGGATGTCCCAGGGTTCCTCGCCAAATTGCCTTTCTATCAGAGTGAAAGCGGTCGAAACCATCCGAAACCTTGTTTTCTCTGCAGCGTCAGCTTTTGCGGTGAAACATGACCATGAGAAAGGTTGCAGGCAGGCACACGCTTTCCAGGTTTGGTGACTCTTTCTTTTGATGGTTGTCTGGTGAGGTCAAACATATTGTGCACCTAATTCGTTGGAACTTGAAAGCCGTTTAAGCCAATTGGGGCAAGACTTGAACACGGGCCTGGATTGGCACAACGCACGACTTCTAGGTTTTAGGAGCTGAATCCTGTTGTTTTACTAATAATTGTTTTGGTTTTCCAGTCTGTCATCAACTAGTCCCCCATTTGGTCCCTAATTTCCCCGCGTGCCTCTCCGTAATGTGTCGTGGGGTTTTGGTGTGTGCGCTGTTTTTGTCAGGTCCGTTTCGCCGTGTAGGTTGGTTCCGGAGGTCCGTCTGTTCCCCTCCCCCCCTGCGCTGTTTTTGGCCGTTTGCCCTTCGTGTGTCCGCTTCTTTCTTCCTCTTGCCTTTCAGGGTTGACCCGGCTCTGGCCGGGTGTGTGTGTGTGTGTGGAACATCTGAAAAGATGTAAAACTTCCTATAGCTTTGACTTGGTTCAATTTTACTTCGTACTTGCAGGGGGTAGCGGCAGATCATTTGGGACCGCTACCAACGAAGACACCCATTTGATCTGGTGATACAGATTGGGACGCCAATCTGCGTACCTGCACCAATTTTTCATTTCCGTCAATGGCAACCGGCCAAGCCAAGAACCGGCACGTCGATATTTTTCCACTTGAGGGTTGTCTACTGCACTGTTGTCGCAATCTGGCATTATTTTTATTTTGGACTTCGCTACATCAGAACCTTCCTCTGAAAGTTTACTTCGCACAGAAATTCACGTTGGATCAACTAATTTTTTCCTGGCAGTTTGTAAGGGATTGTTTTGTGCACGTTTGACGCACTCCACAACAAAATTCGCAATGTTGTTTCTGAGCAAGTGTGTCATTCCTGCTGTATACGTCAAATTGGCAGGAACCCTTCGGGGAAAGCCTTTCCAGGCTAACAATTGACAGTAAAACGATGTCTGAATTTACACTTTTGAATTAGTAATTCGTTTAAGTAAAGTGAACTGCTGGCCTTCTTTCATTGTTTCACACGTCGGTCGAGTGATTGTTGAAACTGCTTGCCGCTGTACTGGGCTTCACCTTTCCTTTTCCACCATGCTTCACATAGCTGGAAGCCGCGACAACATCCTTCCTGTTGCTTCAAGAGAACTGCCCGCAGCCATTTTGTCATGAAACTTCAGGCATGAGGACATGCTTTACAGGTGTGGTTACTTCCTTTTGGTTACTTTGGTGAGGTTGAAATTGTGCACGTAATTCAAGGGTTGAACACGTTAGCCGTCCAGAGGGTTGTGACTTGAAAGCCGAGGGCCTTTGAGCCTTATCACGAATACTGCATGAGTTGTGGATGCATCCAATGTTTGTGTTTTTACCATTAAAGTGATCGTCTGACAGTGCTGCCAGACCTGTTATTTTTGGCCATGTTTCCTGGTCGTTGGCCAAACTTTTCGGAGAACATGTGGAACTGTGGCTGGTCATCGCCTGCCTTTACTTCACCTCAACCTGCAGCACAATTTGGTCAATTTTGTGGAGGTGATCTGATGAACCAACAGTCTCAAGCTCAGTCACAAGCTCAGACTCAAGCTCAGTTGGCTCAGTTACGGGACCAAAATGCATTACTGCATCAACAGTTGAATTCCCAAGCTCAGACCCATATTCAGCAACTCCAACAGCTTCTCCCATTCCATCAGACTTCCCAACAAACCGCATCTCATCAAAATCCTCCATCAGTGCCTGAGCCACCAACGGTGCCACCAGTCCAGACTCCTCCTGTTCCAACTCCATCTCAACCCGCTCCACAAGAGCCACATCCCACTTTCAATCCAGAAGAGATGATGCAACAGATGCGCAACACAGTGGAATCTGGCATGCAGGCGTTTATGGAAATGACCAAAGAAAGGTCTAAGAGCCCTCATGCAAGTGGGGTTCCACTCCCACCAGCGACTCCAGTCGCAGAATCTCCACCCATTGTCCCATTACCACCACTTCCACGGCTTCATCGCCGTTCCAGGTCACGGTCTCAACATATTCCGTCTCAGGTGGACAAACGTCCCATTTCGATCCCGAAAAGTCCAAGACGTCACAGACGGGATAGCCGTTCCCGCCAACATCGTCGACGTTCCCGCTCACGGGATGACTCCATGTCTCCAGGCCGTCCCCAGTCAGTCACTCTTCGTTCCAACTCTCCACGTCACCGGGAAGACCTACATCAACGTGAGGAACTTCGACGCCGTGATGAGTATACTTATCCATCCACTACACAGCAACCTCCATCTTGGCATGACCATCACTACGAACAACCTTCACTTTTCGACAAGTCGGACTACCAAGACTATTCCACCTACCCTGACTACGGCTCCACCAAAAAGTGGAAGCCTTGGCAGTCTTGGAAGGACCAGTCCAAGTCTCAATATTACACGCATCCCTCTGGATGGATCGATTGCTCAAAGCCACACTACAAACATCAATCTTATGATGAACAGCCTTCCAAGTATCCTTCAAAGCCTCTGACGGCATACTCGCTGGAAAAGCACTCCCACAGCCAGGGCAATCATCCCAATCGCTCTGGTTCAGCTCAATCCCGAGCTTCCACTCTTCCACCTGATCATATGGCCATCAACCTTCAAGAAGGTTCCAGAGAGGAATGGGCTCGCCAAGTCAAACATGCTCTCACCCATCCTGATCGGATGAGAGCGGCAAATGAACTTGATGCAAAGGAGCTTCCTCAACCATCCATGAGTATTGTCCAAGAGCACTTTGACGAAGCAATGGACGAGTTGACCAACGTGGACGTGAGAATTCCCACAGACATTGGCAGAAAGGCCATACATTTATTGTCAAGTACAGGCATCCTGACGGATTTTGACTTGTCCGCATGCTATGTTCGAGAACTTCCACAAACAGGCATGCTAGCCTTAGTCATGCCGCTGCCAGAAATGAGCCGATTTCAAATGCCCCCACCTTTTGGCGGCCAAACCCTCGTCACACATGCACTTGGCCATGGTACGACCCTCAGTACCGCACAGCTGATCCTTATGGAGGGCAAGATCCGACCAGCAAACTGGGCTTACCACAAAAATCCACAGAGATGCCACATGCCCACCTTTGGAGCATTCTACATAGGCCGACAGATTGCCAATGCTGACAAGAACTTCCCATCATGGGCAGAACAGGAACTACTTGATTCCATGGAGAAGAAAGGCAAAGGCCAGCAAGAAATCACCATTGGGGCGATCTATAGAGGCTCAGTGGAACATCTTGCACTGCGCGGTGGAGGGAACGAGAAATGTCAGCTCAATGTAGCTAAAAAGGGAATCGTCACCACTCCGGAGAAGTACACGATTGCTCATAGCTACCACGTGGGGCTGAAGTTCATCGCGATCAAATGGTCAGACCTCAAGGATGATGACCAACTGGCACGGCGCCCTATTGAACTTAAGGACACAGATTCTGAGGACAATGTCAACTATCGCGCCAACGAGGAACTGCATGCAGCCAAACGTAAACGTTGAGCATTTAAGACAACATTCTCTGATCGTGTATCATTAGTTTTCTTGTCCTAAACAGGATCATGACTTCTTTTCTGGGGATTTCCTGGACAAATGCATTGGCAAAATGCGACTGCTGACTTGCCCATCTGATTGCTTTTCACTCTTATGAACTTTTCTGGTCATTAGGAGCTTGCAGAGTTTGTTTAGTGACTTTGATGCACATACCAACATTGCTTGACAGGGCCTTGTACCTTAAATGTGATGTTCCATTTCATTTCATCCTGTCAATCGTTGTAACCACCGCAGCTTTTTTGATCCATCAGTAATCTTGAACTGCCCACGCCACCATGGCAGAGTCTGATCGATCCCGCTCA